AATATTATTATATAATACGTAAAATGAACAAAGATCATTTAGAAAATTAATGAATAAAATCTAATGAAAAGGACATATTTAAAAATTTCAAGTATAAATCATTAAAAAGAAAAAAAAAAGAAAAAAGAAAATATCTCAAGTAACATTTACATTTGTTCTAATTTTTTAATCGTATATATATATATATATATATATATATATATATATATATATATATATATATATTAAATTCCATTAATAGATTTAATAATGGACAGATATAAATAAAAAAAAAAATAATAAGCTTTTGACGAATGAAAAAGATTTCTTTTAACAAGATTAAAGAAACGAATTGATACTTATACGAAATTATTAATAATTCGTTATAATAATTGTTTAAAAGTTTCATCTTTAAAGTAAAACTTTTCGTATTATTCGACGATGCAAATTTCCACGAAGTTTTCTATCTTCGTAGAGACGTTGAATATCCTTGACTCAATCTGTCCTCTCTCTTCCTTTCTCTCTCTCTCTCTCTCTCTCTCTCTCTCTCTCTCTCTCTCTCTCTCTCTCTGTCTCTCTATCTCTCTCTCTCCCCCTTCTTCTATTTACCCTGATCTTCTAATTAATGTGAGGTTTAATGGAGGGTTACCATCCACGTACGAGTCAGCATCAATTTCATGGAATTGATCTCTCTCGACTGATTCATTCACGGTAGTATTCTACAATTTATTAGTTGAAACACATGCGCACACACACATACGCACACACACTCATATATATATATATATATAAACAGAGACATATTACATATACGTATAGTAGACGTATACGTGTACGCATAGTGAACGTAGAGGCGTATCTTAGACGGAGGAGGGAGGGTAAGGTCCATTCATGCGCGAAACACGCACGTGCTTACACATCGTACACACAGACACACACACACACACATACACACATATATATATCGTACTACCTTCTTCATTCATAAAAATCTCGCGACTTCTTGGAAGTTAAACTGCGCAGGAGGATTACGAAATTCGTGAGTCGACCACTGGTCGGTGTGTAAAAAGAATAGAAAAAGAAAAAAAAAAGAAAAGGAAAAAGAGAAGAAAAAAATAATAATGAAAATGAAAAAGGAAGAAATAGAAGGAAAGAATAAAAGTGAATGAAGTGAGAATTTAAGAAGTTTTGGTTGAATCATAAACGAAAAGAATAAAATAATGGAAATTGTGAATTGATATGTTATTTTATACAATCTCATCGTACAGTTTCTTTTTATTATCTTGTAAATTTTTAATGATTATCGATATATATATATATATATATATAATGATTGTTCTTAGTTTCGTTCGTCTTTCTTTCGAAAAAAAAGTAATAATAATAATAATAATAATAATAATGATAATAATAATAATAAAAAGGAAAGAATTATTCACGATGATTCGACAATTATTTCATACATGTTCGTATTTATACATTAGCAAATTCAAAAAGCAACATCATTGTTGCTCATGGTATGACTTAAAGAAGAACGTTTAATTCGTATGAATTATTTTTTTTTCCTTTTTTTTTTATATATATATATATATATGGCAAATATATTAGACCAATCGGTTAATCGTTAGAAGTTAGATTTTAAAATGTGACGCAACCCTGACCCCACAATTTGCACATTGATAAAGACTTCTGATAAAATTGATTATTCGATATTATTTTCCACGTGAATGTTTTCTAAAATGATTTCTAATGCTTACCAAGAGACAATGATCGTTCGTCATTCTTTATCTGTCAAGAAAAAATTTAAGTAATAAAAATCAACAACGACGATGAATCTGCAATTATTTTCCGACAACGTCATCTTATCGTCTTATTAACTTTTACGCGGTTTTTATTATCATTCATTTCCGTGGAACATTATTTACACATCCTATCTTCGTTTACGTATATGTATATATATATATATATACATGTGCATGTATGAAAAGTAACAAGAGAGAAAGAAAAAGAGAGAGAGAGAGAGAGAGAGAGAGAGAGAGAGAGAGAGAAAGGCAAACAAACGGAGAAATACTCGATCCACTAAAAAACTAATCGTCATTTCGCGGTTTTTCTAGTTTAGCGTTAATTCTTATTAGAATCGTTATCGATAACGATAAACGAGTAAATCTTTTCCAATTACTCGTTAAAATCTTGAACTTGAGAAATAATCTCAATTATCCTCATTCCTCGTGTTTAAAAAATTAGTCATCCGAACTCTAATGCACACTAACCATCGCTTGATGATTAGTCCTCGTAAATAGATTTCACACGAAGGTCACACGTATTATAATAGTAATAATCTTCCGCCTTAGTCTTTCATAAATTGTTATTGGAGTCGTTCAATTTTTCTTAATTTTTTTTCTTTTCCACTTTTTTCTTTTTCTTTTCTTTTTTTTTTTTTTTTTTTTTTTTTTTTTTTTTTTTTTTTTTTTTTTTTTTTTTTTTTTTTTTTAATTCCTTTTCGATATAATGAACTCCTTTCATAAGGAATTTCAATGAGAGGAATACGAAGACGAACGCGAAACGCGTTTTATATAATCGATAACTCGAGTCCTTTCTCCTGAGCACGTATATCTTCTTGACCTATATCAACGCGTGTTAAAAAGAATGTTCTATTGTACGAAAATAGGAAAGAACAAGAGCAAAAGACAGAGAGAGAGAGAGAGAGAGAAAATAAAAAAAAACCCATGAAATAAAATGACGTAAATGATAATAAAATGATAATAATTAATAATAATAAAATGAAATAAAATGAGCATGAAAAACGAAAAAGCGAGAAGCTAAGTTAGCAATTTTTAAATCGTTTTTGAAACGACGTCGTGAAAGAAGATTTAAAAAAAAAAAAGAAAGAAAAAGAATTAAGAAAGAAAGAAAGAAAGAAAGAAAGAAAGTAAAGAAAGGAAAGAAAGGAAAAAGAACAGGAAGAGAATGGTTTCTAATCGTCGTTAACGTAATGACGTAATCATCGATCACCTCCTACTCGAAGCCTCTCGAATATGAATTCCTTTCTACGACGAAAGTTTACTGTTATATTCTCTTGACTATATTAAAAATACAGATAGGGTATAGATGCTAATCGTTCCCAGAATATTAATGAGAAAACCCATGTTCGAGACCCATGTTTAAGTAACCGTTAATCGATTGCAACGATTAGGTCACTAGCCTCGAATAATCTCGCCATCGTCATCGTCATCGTCGAGCTGATCAACGAAAAAAAAACAAATTTGTCATTTCCGTAATTCGTAAAAAAAAAAAAAAGAGAGAGAGAGAAAGAGAGAAAAAGAAAAAAAAAGTTCCAACTAAAATCGACCGTATATATATTATCGAAATAAAATCTTTTTCACTTTAATGGAAAAGACTTTAAAAGCTTATAAGTTATATACTTAATTCGTTGGTTCGTTCTCTCTCTCTCTCTCTCTCTCTCTCTCTCTTTCTCTCTCATCAAAAAAGGTTTCAATCCACTTTTCAAATCGTTTATAATCCACTTTCGTTATTCGATACGATAGACACGAAAATCGTCTCGACCTCGGCAAATAAGTTATACTTACTCGGTATTTGGTCCTTGTCCTAAATTCATTTGGAAATATCGATGTGCAAATGCAGAGTTCCGTTTAGTTTAATCGATGAAACAATAGACGTCGTACATATCTGTCTACTTATTTACTTACATACCTGTCCTATGCCATGCTATGCTATGCTATGTATGTATGTATATATGTATTTGACAAAATGAATATCCAATTACTACTATCATTTTGCATAACTTTCCTTTTGACTTCTTATTCCTTTTTCTGTTTTTTTTTCTCTTTCTTTCTTTCTTTCTTTCTTTCTTTCTTTCTTTATTTTCTTTCTTTCTTCATTCATACATTTGTCTCTTTTGAGCAAAGATAACAATTAAGCATAAAGAAAGAGAAATAAAAAATGGGACAGAGAATTTAATAAAATTCAATACAAAAGTGAGATGGAATTAACTCTTTGAAAAAAAAAGAAAAAAGAAAAAGAAAGAAAAAAGAAAGAATAGAAAAAGAAGAAGAAAACAAAAAAAAGATCAATGAAGAAGAAGTATTCTCGACAAATTTACACGAGGATAAGAAAAAAGTAATCTATCTTTGTATATAAATGATAAACCTTCGAAATAGTTCGATAATAAATCGCAAGGTCAGCAGTATAAGATACCAAGATAGTTTGGTTTAAACAATGATCCTTTGATTAACACCTATTCGAATTTACACTTTGTCAAAATACAATGGTTCGCAATTAAGCTAACGAACACACACACACACACACATATACGACCATATATACACGCCCACATCCCCTATGCACCTACACATACACCCTCTATGCACCCGCACATACACTCTCTATGCACCCACACATACACAATAGTCACCGATAATAGATCGTACCTTATCGAGTTAGACAAAGATGAATTGATTTTATGCTCGAAAGATTTAATTACTTTCTTTTTCTTTGATCTTTTTTCTTTTTTCTTCTTCTTCTTCTTCTTCTTTTTTTTTTTTAACATCTTGACTATATACAATAATGTCGTGTTGGTGAATAGATTTCCAAATTTAATTTAGCTAATTTTTCATAGAATAATTACGACGTATTAATTGTATACAAGAAAAAAAAAAAAAAAAAAAAAAGAAAAAAAGCAAGTTTTTTCCAATGATGAAAAAACATTTCTTCATGTTTGTTTCGTGAATTTGTCAATGGAAAAAAAAAAGATTTAATTAGAGCAACGATGGAATGATACTCGCGAAAAATGTCGATATGTATGATAATATATATTTAGAGTATATTTATGAGTTTAGAAAAAGTTTTGAAAAAGAAAAAAAATGACTTCACGCAAGAAAGTATTATCATTATTTTCTTTTTTTTTTTTTTTTTTCGAATAGACATTCACATTCACATTCATATTCACATTCAATTGTTTTATATTATTTAATCTTTTTCTTTTTCTCTTTTTCTTTGCATTACAGAGATACCTCTCGCAGTATGGATATTTGCCATCGGTTAATCCAGCAAATGGCGGAATCATTTCCGAGGAATCACTATCTCAAGCAATCTCAGAGTTTCAATCGCTTGCTGGAATCAATATAACAGGTACAATCGATTATTTCATCATTGATTAGGCCTAATGAATGCTCTGTTCTGTCTCTATTCATTTTATATATTTTTCTTCTTTATTTATTTTTTCTTGTTTTTCTTTTCTTTGAATTTAATAAGAAAAAATAATAAATCTGTACTCTCTAATGAACAATATAATTTTTATTAATATTAGATGCTAAAAACTTAATTATCAATGAACAGAACATTTCTATAGACCTAATATATTAATATATATATATATATATATTTTAAATCAGGCTTGAATATGAAATGACTTTTAATCAAAATTTCGTAGATCGTTGACTTAATATTATTATTATTATTATTATTATTATTATTATTATTATTATTATTATTATTATTATTATTATTAGATATTTATTGGATTAATCAATAAATAATATTGAAACTTCAATAAAGCAGAGACCAAAAGTCCTTAGACAAATTGTAAAATCGTAGTTGAATATTTCGAAAGAAGAAGAAAAAATCTGCCTAAAGAGTTTCGAAAGAATGTCATTTTCTAAAAGAAAAAAAAAAAAAAAAAACAAAAAAAAAAAGACAAAAGAAAAAAAAAGCTCAGCTCGTATTAAAAATTCTGTTGGTATGAAAAAAGAAAAATCAGTAATAATTCGACGATAAATTAAGGGAATTATTATAAATTCCGTTCCATGTGAGTAGATACTACTCTAGTTTCAATCGTAACGTGTTTTAATCGACATGAATCAGCAATCCTCTCCCTCCCCCCCCTTCTCCCATTCATCCTTCTCCCTCCCACTTACGATCGTCTCCATTCGATATAGACGCATACATGTGTACACTTATACTTAAGCACTTGTTCAATGTCGACTGCATATCGTGTGTGACTCACGAGTCGGCGCGTGCATAAGTGAAATTTGCAGTAATCGAACTAATTAAAAGTAAACACGCATGCATGAATTAATCTATTGCGTAAATACATGCATGCATACATACATACTTATGTATATGTAAATATATAAATATGTATGTGCGTCGAATGTCAAAGTCCCGTTTCAAAAGTCACTCTGATAAAGTTCACATTCTCGATGAATCGAACGCACACTCTTATATATAATTCTCAGATGAGACTTATTTATAAATCGAATGGTAAAAAAGAAAAAAGAGAAAGAGAGAGAGAGAGAGAGAGAGAGAGAGAGAGAGAGATAAAAATAAAAATAAATAAATAAATAAATATAATCACCAACGACGACCTCTCTGAATCATGGGACTATAGTGACACGAACGAAATATCTATGAGAAAAAATGATATAAAAATGATTGTTCGTGATTAATTATTAGATTAAAATGGATAAGAAAAATTGAAGCAACAATGAAAAGTCATTTGTACGTTGTAAAGAAAAATATCTTTTTATGAAGAAATTCAATGGGAGAGAATGGCAATAGGATGCATCATCGTTTGCATGACGTGAACCTTGAAAACGAAGAGGAGAGAAAACAAAAAGAAAAAGAAAAAAAGAAAAAAGAAATAAAGAAAAAAGGAAAATGAAAAAAAGAAAAAAAAGAAGAAGAAGAAGTAGAATAAGAAGAAGAATAATAATAACAAGTAGCAGTAGCAGCAGTAGTAGTAGTAGTAGTAGTAGTAATAGTAGTAGTAGTAGTAAAGATGCAAAATGATAAATCTCCCTGGATCACCGTAGCACATTGGAAAGGAAAAGTGCATTCTTGAATGTCTAGACGACGAAGGACCAACACTCCGACATATTGCTGTCTCTTCGAAGGATTCACCAGCGTTTAGTTAGTCACTCTTTTTCTCTCTCTTTCTCTCTCTGTCTCTCTCTCTCTCTCTCTCTCTCTCTCTCTCTCTCTCTCTCTCTTTCTTTTTGGCTCGAGGATCTTTAAGGAGTATGATCGAAAAAGTATTTAAAATAAACTGAAAAAATTTCGTTGAAAGAAAACCAAAAAGAAATATTTGCTTGTCACCATACAGCCAATTTGTTCCGCAACGAAAAACATCGTCAAAGACAGAAAAAAAAGATAGAGAGAGAGAGAGAAAGAGAGAGAGAGAGGGAGAAAAATAAAGATTAAAAAAAGGAGAGTCCGGGTGTCGAGGCAAACATTTTCCTACGATCATTGTCAAGGTTATGTCCTTGACACATGACGCGAACGCGAACTTGAACGCAAATACGAAAGCAAACGTGAAACAGAGAAACTCGTCAAACTGGACAAGAGTGTCTCAGTGAGAAAGTTTTGTTATATTGTCTCTACGGATTACTTTTGCGTGAAATTTAAAAATAAAAAATTTCGAAAAAAAATTTTATTCCATACGATCCCTCTCTTCTAATCTCTTCTGATTTTTCCATTCTCTATTAAAAATGATGGATCCTTTTAGTATTGTATCAGAATAGGGAAGAGAAAAAATTTAGAAAAAAAAAGAGACGAAAAAAAGATGAACGACGAGTAATGATTCGTAAATTAAAAATGACAAAATTATGATGGATTTTAAGAACAGATAGAGTTTCCCTGATGATCATCACTACCTATGACAACTTGAAGCATGATTCAGAAGTTCGATGGAACGCTGAGTTATCTTATAAGACAGTGGCACTATACAATGATGATTCATGTTCGTCACGTAGTATCATTACACGATATTGTTATTAAAATCTATAAAATTTCGTTCGCCAGGTAGGAACAAAAAATATTTATTAAAAAAAAAAAAAAAAAAAAAAAAAAAAGAATGAAAAAAAAAGATCATTTCTAGTTTACATCCATGCGTATACGTACATATGTATATTTATATTTGCTATTAGGCTAATAAGTAATGAGAAAATTTTTATTAGTTTGTATTACAAATAAACATAATACAGGAGTATTCTTTTATTTTATTTTTTTTTTTTTTTTTTTTTTTTTCACTCAATAAACATCTTGTATCTTATATATTCGAACGAAAATATATTTTATATTTTAATATTGTTTATAGTGTCACAAAAATTTTTTAGTATTATATATATATATTTATTATTATTATTGAGATAAAGAGTTATTACTAGATGAGAAGAAAACAAATTTTCTTTGCAAATCGTCCGATATATTCATATATAATTAACACGTAACATACGGTAAATATGTAAATGAAATTGAAAACGATTTCAGAATATCGTGTATATTGTAAGAACAATTTTCATAAAATGTTAATAGATAGTTATGATAGCGTTGTAATAAATAGTTTGCCTTCTTCTATCGATCCTATAAAGAAAGAAGAAAAAAAATGATGATCTACGTAAGTACGAATCTCAAACGATTTACAATTAACGATTACTAATACCATTGATATGTATAAGACGAGTAAATAGTCTTGACGATAATTCACCAATTTTCTTGGTAACATATGCGAAAGAATGTTGCATGCTGACTGTTACTATCATTGAAGAATCATGGAATATGCAACGCGTTAAGCATTAATGCATAATTGTTTTACTACGTAACGTTCAAACGAATTATTATCCAACAAAGAAATATATTAAATAAATTTCAATCGTATTACGTCTACATATATATATATAGATAGATATATATAAAACAAAAAATTAAAAATATGTACATCTTGATCCACAAAAAAAAAAAAAAGAAAACCAAAAGAAGAAAAAGAAGAAGGGACAGATTGATCGATGATAAAAATGGGACAATAAATTTGGATTTTTAAACAAAACGTGATATAAATTATCTTAGGTAATAAACAATATCGAATGGTAGATACAAAGTTTCCCGAAAGAATGGGTGTCAAGGAGAGATTCTCCACGTAAGCGTAAATAGGAATTAATATGAGATAAGTGAAGACATTATGTGGCTAAAGATAATATTATGTACGCATAGAAAGAGAGAGAGAGAGAGAGAGAGAGAGAGAGAGAGAGAGAGAAAAGAAAAAGAAAAAAAAGTAAAAGAAAAAAAGAGAGAGAGAGAGAAGAAAAATGTTCCGTGCGATCTACAAGAACTCAAAAACAAATTGTCGTTTATGGGATTGGAGGAAGGAGGAGAGGAAGAAAAACAGAAGATGAATAAAAAAAAAAAAAAAAAAGAAAAGAAAAAAACAAGAAAGAAAAAAATGAAGAAAAATTAAATAAACATAATAAAAAATAAAAATAAAAAAAAAAAAAAAGAAAAAAAAAGACATCGAAGGTAAACCGGAAGGAATGATCTAACAATAAAATTGTATATCGTTGATGGTGTATACAGTATATTGTTCGAACAGAAACGTGATTATCGGTGACGATCTTCCGCCTCACGACTGACAAGCAAGCCACGAGAACTTCCTACTATCTGTAGATATAATCAATGGTCAACAAACGTTTCCTGTGCAGTCTATCGATGAAACGGGATCGATCGTTGATTTAGCTTAACAGCATAGACAAAAATGATAGGAATAGGATCGATCGATCTATCGATCGAATGCAAATTCTTTTGGAATTTTTATATTTTATCAAGTTTCTTTTTTGTTTTCTTTTTTTTTGTTTCTTTTTTTTTTCTTTTTTGTTCCTTTAATTACAATCCTCTTAATTACAAGTCAGAAACGAATGGAGCAACGTGTAATTTGTTTGACAAAAAAAAAATCTTTAAATATTCTTAAGCAACGTTTAAAAAGAATATTTCACGGTTTTTTTTTTTTTTTTTTTTTTTTTTTTTTTTTTTTTTTTTTTTTAATAAAGAAATTATTTATTTGCATTTGTATGCAATGAAAAATATACAACTTATAATATTTTTAACGATAATTAAATGAAACGTTTGTTTCATTCGATAAAAAAAAAAAAAAAAAAAAAAAAAAAAAATTTCTGAACACTCGCAAAGCCATTTAGGGATATTTCACTATGAATATAAATAATTTGTTTACGTTATATGCAATTAAAGATATATATCATAGAATGTGTTTCTTATGATGATAAAAACGAAACGCGTTATACATTTGATAAAAAAAAAATAAAATAAAGTAAGATGAAAGATAAAATGAAAATGAAAGAAATCTATAAACGTTCACAATTGACATTTAGGGTCATATCAAATGACTATTAATAACTTATTGTATTTATTGATGGGCGTATACGCGGATATCGTGGATACACGATGGTAGATGAATAAATAATTTTATTGATGGATGCACGCACATCCTTGCACGTCGTATGTAAATATCTATTCATCGATTTTCTGCCGATAATAGACTATAAATGTTGCTTCAAGGATCGATACGAGTAGATCCTTCGTGAAATGAAGAAAACAAAAAAAAAAAAAAACAAAAAAAAAAGAAAGAAAAAAAGAACGAAAGAAAAAGAAAAACCACAACATATAATAGATATTTAATGATCTATGGAAAAATATGAAAAATCTTTAAGTACCATCGTATTTCGTGTTTCAGGTTCTATGAACGATGAAACGGCCTATTACATGTCCTTATCAAGATGTGGCGTTAAGGATAAAGTAGGACCGAGTTACGATGGAAGATCGAAGAGATATGCTCTTCAAGGTGAGCAAAATTTAATGACATAATTAATTATAAATAAATTTTCTTATATCAACACTAATCTTTATAAATATCTCAATTTTAATTGTATCTTATATTTAATTATTATAGACCCAAGTGGATAATTATATAATGATAAATTTATAATGAGAAACTAGTAAATTTGTTTAGTCAAAAAATATACTATAGTATGTCTATATATATATATATATATATATAGACATATATATAACTCTTAAATTTTAAATAGATTGTTTATTTATATTAAATATATAATTAGTATCAGTATATTCCTATAATTATATAAACATATATAATTTAAATATATAAAAGTGTATATTCAAGATATAAATATATAACTTTTAAATTATGCAAATTTATATTTAATATATATAAATATAACAATCTTTTTTCTTTCTTTTTCTATTTCTTTTTCTTTTCTTTGTTTTTCTCCCGTTTTTCTTTTTATTTCGTGACGAGAAAAAAAAGAAGAGAAAATAAATTAATATACGTTCGATATCCTTTGACGAAATTCGATGTAAAACGATTTAAAATTACAAAAAGGAAAAATAAGTTTTAATATTTAAAAATATTTCATTTGTAATTTTAATACAAGAGTAAAGAGTGATTTTTTAATAGATCAGGTAATAGGTATTTCAACTTCCTGACACTCTCTCTCTCTCTCTCTCTCTCTCTCTCTCTCTCTCTCTCTCTCTCTCTCTCTCTCTCTCTCTCTCTCTCTCTCTCTCTCTCTCTCTCTCTCTCTCTAATTATAGTTACAAATAGTCGATGGAAAATCAGTCACCCCAAACGGACTTGTTCGCGTTCGAAACGCATAAGTGTTCGACAAAACGCAAACATTTTCTTCCTTTCTTTTTTTTTTTTTCTCTTCTTTTTTTAATTTTATTTTTTGCTTGCGTAACCCTCGGTAATAAAATTTTTCAAAGATTAATTGAAGATCACCCGCTTATATTATTTTACGAATAACAGAACCCATTTCCTATCATTCCCATCCAGTGCCCATCAATCATCTCCCATCGTACCATCGAATTGAACGAGATATATCAATGAAATTGACATTGCATCGACAATTCAGGATATTACTCGTATGTGAAACAAAACTTTACAGGAAAGAAAAAAAGAAAAAAGAGAAAAAAATATATCCTCTAGATTAATATCAACTTGATGCAATAATAATTGCAATGTTTATCATTTTACTCGATACAGAAAGAGAAAAAAAAAGATACCAATTACTTTTGCACCAACCTAATAATAAAATATCGAGTATGACGATAATCCTAGGGAATTTTTCTGCTTGTAACTTTCGTTGATAATTTATTGATCTAAACTGTGTTCTTCTAAACGATACGAATAAATGTGAATTTTTTAAATGACATCTTCCGCATCCTAAGTATTTATATTGTATACATAAATCGTGAAAACGAAAAAAAAGAAAAGAGAAAAAAAATCAAAAAAAGAAAGAAAAAGAAAATTAGCATTAAATCAAGCTAAATCTTTCTAATAGTTCTTTACTGTACGTGATATATCACGACAATAAGATAATATATATCAACGTTTATTATTCATACTACGTCGTACGAATATCAAATGATAATCGTTGTTAATACGATTCGATCCGATCTTATAACCATGACTTTGAACTTTTTTTACTCCTTTACTATTAAACTCGTGCCGTTCATGCACGTTAGTTTGAACTAACATAAAATAGATATAGAGAGTGAACATCGAGATCGTCGATCCGTAACTTCTATTATGTGATATAAATCACTATTGTATAGAAAAGTTCTGTTACCGTTTGAATGAACGAAGTAGAACGGACGAGGAGAAATAATCGTAACAATTATTCGTGAAAATGGACGTCATACGTCAGGTGTGATGTTACAATTTTATATCGTAGAAAATATCGTACACAACTTCGATAAATATCATTTCGTTCGATTAAACAAAATCACGATCGCCGATATAACAAGCATGTTCAGCGACGACGACATGTTGAAAGGATAATTTCATGGTAAAAAAAAAAAGAAAAAAAAAAAGAAAAAGAAAAAAAAAGAAAAAAGAAAAATAGAAAAAAAAAAGAATAAAAAAAAAAAAGAATAATAATAATAATAATAATAATAAAATAAGAGAAAGACGAACATTTAATCGTTCGATGAAAGAATCGGCCGCATTATTATCTACGATCTTCCGCGATCATAAAAGAATTCTTTCGGTTGCATAACAGAACCGACGATTAATAATTATAGCATGTTTAGTATGTACAGCATGTAGATAAATAAGAGTGTATATGAGAGCATAACGATTGCATAAATTGTAAGTTCACGGTAATGAACCCACCGCGTTACGCGATGACACGCGATGGGTGTAGCTAGTTATGTTAGAATGTAATAAACTCAATTTTTGCAGGATTGATTGATCAATAAAGATTTATTTTTACGCAGGATCGAGATGGAGAGTAAAGAAATTGTCATACAGGATTAGCAAGTATCCGGCGGGTTTAAGTAGAACAGAAGTTGATAAAGAAATCGCTAAAGCTTTTAGCATTTGGTCACAATACACTGATCTATCCTTCACGGTTAAATCTACAGGCTCGGTAAGTGATTACTCATGATCAATTTGATTATCTTTTTAACAAATTAAAAAAAAAAATATATATATATATATTAATCAAATTACATTTCAATTTATATATATATATATATATATATATATATATATCATATTTAAAATTAATTAATATATATATATATACTATCAACCATCAGGTACCAACAACTGATAAAGAAGATTCAGAGCTTTGTATAGATCTAACGATCAATAATATATATATACACACACACACACAATATATTTTAATATTTTATTCAGGTTCACATAGACATCAGATTCGAAATCGGTGAACACGGAGACGGTGATCCGTTCGATGGACGCGGTGGTACTTTGGCACATGCTTATTTCCCAGTTTATGGTGGAGACGCTCATTTCGATGACGCCGAACAATGGACGATAAACAGTTATCGTGGAACGAATCTGTTTCAAGTTGCGGCACACGAATTTGGACATTCGCTCGGATTAAGTCACAGTGACGTTAAAGCCGCCCTGATGGCACCTTTCTATCGTGGATACGAGCCCAATTTTAGTTTACATTCCGACGACATCGATGGCATTCAAGTGAGTTCAAAATTATTCGTGTGTTTTTTAAAGAGATAAAAAAAGAAAAGTAAATAATTTGACTAAACAGGACAATTATAACAAATAAATGAATGGCCCATGGATTGACGAGTAAATAAATAAATAAATAAATAAATAAACGTATCCCTATTATTCGTTAGGCTCTGTACGGAAGAAGAACAACTGGTTGGGGACAGGGACCAACGAACATTCATCCAACATCGGTACCACCAACTGGCGAGGAAGATCCAGAGCTTTGTATGGATCCAAAGATCGATACGATATTTAATTCCGCCGAAGGACACATATATGTCTTCAAAGGTATCAAAATCATTAATATTTAATAAATTTATATATTATCGATAAAACGTTCTTTTGATTAAGAATTTAGTTTGAATATAATATCTATTGATCTTCACAGGAGAACATTATTGGAGACTGACAGCCGATGGTATAGCTAGCGGTTATCCCAAACGGATTAGCAATTCTTGGAAGGGTCTTCCGGGTAATATAGACGCTGCATTTACATTCAAGAACGGTAAAACTTATTTCTTTAAGGTAAGAATCTTCTTTGGATTAATAATGATATGATGGATTTAAGTGAGCTCGTCAAAAAAAAAAAAAAAAAAGAAAAGAAAAAAAAGTAAATAAATAAATAAAAATAAAGAATGATCATCGAACAGAGGATACAATACAAACGGATCTGTTCTATTATCTAGGGATCGAAATATTGGAGGTACATTGGGAAACATATGGATGGTCAATATCCAAAAGAAATAAGTGAAGGTTTCACGGGAATACCTGACAACATAGATGCAGCGACAGTTTGGACAGGGAACGGAAAGATTTATTTCTATAAGGGAACGAAATTCTGGCGATTTGATCAAGTACAAAAGCCACCGGTTAAGAGTACTTATCCAAAGCCAATCAAAAATTGGGAAGGTCTACCGGATAATTTAGACGGTGCTGTCATTTATCAAGGATACACGTATTTCTTCAAGGACAAGGGCTATTACAGATTCAACGATCGTACCTTTTCAGTAAGTTTTATTTTTCTCTTTCTTTCTCCTTTTCTATTCTTAAACATGAAGAGCGAGAGAAAGAGAGAGAGACAGAGAGAGAGAGAGACAGAGAGAGAAATAAACAAATCACTTTATTTTTCAGGTGGACGTCGCCGATCCAGCGTTCCCAAGGGCGACAGCTTATTGGTGGTTCGGATGCAAGTCGGCGAGTAAAGGGACGTTAGGTAATATCAGATGGCAGGGCGAAAGTCCCGAAGAATCTTCCCTATTTTCCGGCATTCTGGATGCGGGCGATCGTGACTCGTTCGACAATGACGTTAGCGACATCATATTAGACGCAGGTATAATAATGCCTTCAAAAATACGGCCAAATTTATTGTTTGCCTCGACTCATCCGCAAAGTTCCAGATTATCTTTGCCCATCGAACTAATATCTAATATCTAACATGATATATTTACAATGGAAAAAAAAAAAAAAAAAAAAAAAAGAAAAAAAAAATACGTTCGTGCGAACGATAATAATCTTTTTCCTAACGATAACTGGAACTTTTGGCTTTGGGGGAAAAACAAAATTATCCTTGACAAAAAAATAACAAAAATTGGAGTTTGTCCCAAAAACAAAGAAAAAAAAAAAAGAACTAACGTAGTACAAGTCAAAGAGAGAGAGAGAGAGAGAGAGAGAGAGAAAAATCGGTGTCCACCATCTGGCTATAACATACCTAGGGCTTTGGGGCCATCGAAGGGACATGTGCGTTTGCGCTATAATAATTTTTGTATTCGTGTGTGTGTGTGTATGTGTGTTTATTTTTTGTCCGTGTGTATTAATATTTAAAAAAAAAAAAAAAAATCGCGAGTCGCAAATCTCTAATAACGGAAGACTAAAAACTGTCGATCTCTTCAAAACGGAAGAGGGTAATATTTTTTTGTCGTAGATTATTACGGACACGATTTTTATTTTATTTTTCCGGTTTTACTACAAACGAACGATACTATCGTACACGATTCGGATGTGACGTAATGTTTCGAACGATATATGAATTATTCGATCTCGTTTCAAGATTTTTTGTTTTTCTTTTTTGTTCTTTCTTTGTTTTCTTTTTTTTCTTCATTATTATTATTATTATTATTATTATTATTATTATTATTATTATTATTATTATTATTATTATTATTATTACTACTATTTTTATTTCTAATGTCTTTTAACGATTCGAGATTGAATGAAGACGATCGAGAAATATTATTGGATCGGTTAAATAAATAATTTTGAAGGATTTAAATACAGATTAAGGGGAACAAAAAAAGTCCCTAGGTAATTTTTAAAAATCTATTACATAATCTTTTCTGTGATTATTTTTCTTTTTTCTTTTTTCTTAAAATCGTGAAAAAGTTCCTAAGCTTGTATACGATTTTATATTCTGCAAAAGAAAGAACAAAAAATACAAAAAGTCTCGAGAAAGATTAATTAATAATTTAAAATGTCGCTTAAAGATAGTATTAAAAATTCCGACATCTTTTTTTTTTCGGCCAAACCGATAGAAATAATATTAAACGTTCGATAAGATTAAAAATGCACGCACATGAGATCTACGATGGTTCGCAGAAAAAAAAAAAAAGGGATATTACTATTGTTGTTGTCATCGTCCAAAGTTAAAAAAAAAAAAAAGAGAAAGAAAAAGAAAAAAGATGGTGCTGGTTACTAACTTATTATCGGATATTACTAATGGGTATCATCAAAAAAAAAAAAAATTCATTCATTTTTACTTCATTCTTTTCTTCTTCTATTTTTTTAGTTAATAATATCTGAAACAAAATTTAATATCCATTTTCTTAAAGGTGAATTAATGATCATAATCATAATCATAATCATAATAATAATAATAATAATAATAATAATAATAATAATAATAATAATAATAATAATAATAATAATAATAATAATAATAATAATAATAATAATAATACGACAGATGCAAACACACGCAAGCGAATCTAACTCATGAAAACGATCATATCGTGTTCTTGCATTTCGTGACGTCCTATTGTCTCTAATTGTCGTTATTGTATTTAAAAAAAAAAAAAAAAATCCACAATATCTCATTTTATATATATATATATATATCTTTTTTGCTAAAACAATCACCGACTCGAATCGAATTTTAAATCTTACATTTCATATTACCACGAGATATCTAACTATTGGATCGGCCAATAAGTTGATGTCAGAATTTTTAATGATATAAATTGGGCTAAAAGTCCACCAATTAGGTGATATTAAAAATCAATTGATTTTTATCGATCTTTATATCTCCTGGATTAATTCACTTTGAAATTGTAAAATAATGGATTTCTAGACTCTTAGTATCACATTCTAAAAAGAAGAAAGAAAAATTAGTCCTAAAAAAAAAAAAGGAAGTAATCAATTTTTGGTTCCTAATCACGGAATTAAAAATTCCGAAATTATTTGTTGGACGAGCCGATACAAGCCCAAAGTATTGATTAGCCAGTTGGCGAGTAACGGGACCGATTATATTCTATTCTTCTATTTTTTTTCCTCTCGTTTTTCCACAAAAAAAAAAAGAAAAAAAAAAAAAAAAGAAAAATTGGTTTTCTTTTTTAAATAAAAATCTTCGATATACATACGTAATATCTTAAAGAAAAGATTAAGGATATTACTATATTATTATGTCGTCAATGTGTCATCGTCGCCGTATCCAGTACCGGAACCAGAGTAAATATGTAGTAAATATTTTTAGACATAAGCAACTTCTATAGAACGGCTTACTCTATTTTTTTTTTTTTTCATCTTTATATATATAAAAAAAAAACGTACGCTTGTTCAATGTATTGTTAGCACCTATGCTTGTGATCGCATGCTAATGATCTTCGTATCTCTTTTTGCACCCTCGTCGCTGCCCCTCTCACGCTTCCTATCTCTTTGCAATCTATCTATTTTAGAGTGGAGCAAAAAAGGAAGATAAAAAATAGAATAAAATATGAAACAAATTTGTATCTATATGTGTAATAAGACTACATTGTCAGTTAGATCGAAAAAAAAAAAAAAAGAAAGACGGAAATATCTTAAAGTATAAATATAAAATAAAGTATAAACATAAAAAAGAATAAACAAATAAATATAAATAAAGAATAAAAAAAAGTATAATATCATTATCTTTGTCTGTCAGAGTATGACTTCGTTCGACATTTGTATCGACAATTTTAACCGAAAAAAAAAAAACGTTAGGGTTTTAGAAAAAAAAAAAAAAAAAAAAAACAATCAGAAATTTAATTAAAAATTAATTAATTAAATTAATAAATTTGATCTAATATATTCTTCAAAATTTTTAAGATAATTTTTCTATTCTATCGTTAAAATATATTATATTTATTTATCATTATTTTCTTTTTTCCTTTTTTCGTAATTTTCTTTACATGTTATATTTTAATTTTCATTACGTACATTCCTACAATTTAACTTTATAATTAATCATCTGCGCAGAAAACTGTGCGCACAGAGACAAATTAACTTTTTCCGTCTCATTTCATCGGTTGTCCCTTTTCGCCCTATTTATGGGGGGGGGGAGGGACTGACAATGCAGTCTTATTACGCATACGAAGATATCAATAGATCTTTATGGTATATTTGCACATTTTCTCTCTTTTTTTTTTCTTTTTTCTTTTTTCTTGCACGTTAGTTATCACCGGCAATATAACACAACTAACAAGTAATAAAGTAATTAGATCGATCTCTAAGATCGATCGTTTCAATTTCGAGAGTTTATTATTCGAACAAACGATTGGCACGAGTTACGTACATATTATGCACGTATTTTGTATATTAGAAATATGTTTCTCTACACATGCATGTTATATATGTGTTAAAAATATCTCTATATACTGCTCTCTTTTTTTTCTTTAATCTCACATATATATGTATGTATCTATGTATACATGTAATAATGTATGGTGTATTGGCATAGTAAAATCACAGTACGAGGTCGATCAAAAAAAAAAAAAAATATATATATATATATACACACACACACGACACATGCAATAAAACATATTACTTGCTCGAGCACGTCGTACGTGAGTATCTCAGTGTGTGCATAAATAAAAGGTGCATGGCCAAAAAAAAGAAAAAAAAATTTTTTTTTAATAATAAAAAAAAAAAAAAATAAGCGGTTGACGGTCACGTTGTTTGGAACTTGGACTAATATTATCAGAAAAGGATTTATATTCCCTTCTAACCAATCACAAGCCACTCTCTTGGTCACGTGCTCTCAATTTCACTTTCCTTATTGGTTGAGTGATCCCATAATATTTCTTTTCTTTTCCTTTGAATTTTCACATATCTCAGATGAATAATTTTTCATCTATCTTTGTTTTCTTCTTTTTCTATTTCTATTTCCTTTGTTTTGTTTTGATTTGTTTGGTTTTTATTTTTTTAATGCACTATATATATACATATGTATATCACACTTGGTAGTACACATATCGCATTTCTTTATTGCACGTTATTCTTAATAATAATCTTTCTTTATTTTTCTTATGTATGTAAAATCTTTATTATTTTTTGCACGATCATTATGTTTCAATTGCGTATGGTGAAAGGAAGATTTAAAAAAAAAAAGAAAAAAAAAAATTGAAAAAGGAAGTAAAAAAAGTAGTTTTTTGTTTGAACGGGATAAGTCACAATGCAGCATGTTTCTTTCTTCTTTTCTTACTTTCTTTCTTTTTGTTTCTTCAGCATTTATTATTTCTTTTATTGTCTCTTTCTTTTTTATTATCTTCTAATGAGTTCTTTTTTTCCGCCATTACTTTTTTCATTTTCGACAAGTTCGAGTTTTCTTTTTCGTTTTCTTTTTGGATTAAAACAAAAAAAAAACAAAAAAAAAACAAAAAAAGAAAAGAAAATATAAGAAACAACGCCATTTTGCTTCGATCGAATAAAGAATCGGAATACAAATTATCGAAGGAAAATGGTATCGCGTAAAAATTTTTTTTCTAGAAATTCCTATTTGTTTCGCAGTTGATGTTATAATAATTTAAAATATGATATTGAAATTACTAAACTGTACTTGATAAGATCTAAACTTATGACGCATTATATCTCAACAACTGTAACATCATAAAATGATATTAACCTAACTTTGAATTTGAAATATCGAATTTCGTAGATGTATCACAGTTGAACTTAATTCACAAGTACAAAAAAAAATAAAGACGAATAACTATGATACTCGTGAAAGAAATGCGATGTAAGTTTACACAAGAAAACAAAAGAAAAAGATCTATCTTAATGGTACGGTGAAAGAAATTTCTACGATCATGATAACGCGAATTAGACGAAATTATTATTTTTTGCACGTTTTAATTTTGTTCCCTTTTGTCGTTTTTTATCGCAATCGAAATAATGAATAATCATTATTTACTCACCAAAGAAAAGAAATTCGTTCGTTGGCTCCTCTTCTAACAAAAAAAAATGATCTTCAAACGTGCATACCAATTTATCCGTGAAAAATTTTCTGATGTCACAAATGGAAAGAAAAAAAAATCACAACGTATTTTTATTCACTACGCGACAACGATAAAACTCGTTCACACACTTGTCACATTGAAAAGTGAAAAGGAAAAGGGGAAAAGAAAAAAAGAACTAGGTTAGTCGAAATAACGGATAAAAGAAATAATTAATCCCGGAAAAAATCGTATTTCCAGAGGACAACAACTTTCGTCTCGGATCAAACGGATTCGAGAAAAAGTGAGAGAGCTGCGGGGCTGGGTCCGTAACGGCCCGTTCGGTCGAGTTTACACGTGCCAAAACGATCGCAAACCAAAAACAAACAAATAAACAAAATAAACAAAACAAAAAAAAAGTTCCAAACAACGACGATGCGAGAAAAAGATTGCGAGAACTGTTGTCCGCACACGTTTTGAAAAGACGTTGTTTCGCGCGCGATAACCAGGTGCGAGAGAAAAAGAGAGAGAGAGAGAGGAAAAAACAAAAAACAATCAAGCAAGCAAGCAAACGACAAGAGCGACCTCTTGCTAAGCGTGGCTCGGCCAATCATCGATCGAATTCACTCTCCACCCCCGCCATTATCAACCTGCTCATCCAATCACCTTAACCGATAACCCTAAAATTGAACCAATCGTAATCCCTCATTCCATCACGTATAAAAAAATTTAACGTTATGCCGCGCGCATTACGATTTTTTTCGTTGCAAATCCCAACAGGAGGATTAGACGAGCAATTCGCAACGTCATCTAATCAAGATCGCATGGATTCTGGATCTCGTGGCATTTTCAACGACGAGGCATGGTCCATTATCATTAGTATCTTAACGATGATCATAGCGAGGTTCATCATCACAACATAAATCAAATGTTGTACAACGAAGGAATGTTTCAAGGTCGAAGGAAGATGAAAAAAGGAAATACAATATGTATTGTATTACGATAAGGATTCTCCGGTTAATCCATTCGACGGAGTATCATCGTGTGTATAATATGTGTGTTTGAAGAATTTCTCATGAGTCCAAACACGTCGAAGAAAATATGTGGAAAGTAGAAGAGGAAAGAAGAAGAAGAAAAGAAAGAAGAAGAAAAAGAAGAGGAAGAGAAGAAGAAGAAAGACTAGAAGAATAAGAAGGCCATTCGTGTTCTCGATATTTAAAATGATTGTGTCGTCCCTGGTTTCATGGCTCGAAACGAACGTTCCCGCGCTTTTTTATTTCTTTTTTTTTCTTTTCTTTTTTTTTTTTTTTGAGATAGATGTTTCTACCATATTCTCTCTCATCGTCAACCTACGATTGGCTATCGTTAGTGGTTAGAATACGGTGACTCCGCTGTGCGTCAAAGCTTCTTCTCTATCGGACGGTATCCGCGAAATAGAGAGAAAGAAAAAGAAAAAGAAAGAGTGAGAGAGAGAGAGAGAGAGAGAGAGAGGAAGAGGGAGTGAGAGAGAGAGGGAGAGAGAAAAGTTGGGCGCAAGCTGCCAATGAAGTGACGTCTTGAATAGAAATTTTTTTTCTCTCTCTCTCTCTTTCTCTCTCTCTCTCTAGATAATTAGTTCACAAGAGTCGTACAGACGGTATGTATGTATATGTAATAAGTAGTCGTACGAATTTGATCACAAATAAAGAAAAATAAATAAATAAATAAATAAATAAATAAATAAATGAATAAATAAATAAATAAATAAAAAATCCGAACGATAGAAAATTAACGGTTGAGCGATCGTTGTTGCACGCGTTTATCCGCGTTTGAACGATTCGTATGAGATTCTCAATATAATTGGATTAAATCGAATGCAAAACGAAAAAGGAAAAAAAAAAGTAAAAGAAACAGAAAGTAATATAACAATAATTTTTGAATTTTTCCCGCGTGTTCGAACGAAGATTTAAGTAAAAATGTAAGAATATAAAATGTAATAATGTTACATCGATTATCAATTGTCACGATACTTTTGACGTGGCGGCATAGGGTGGAACAATTTAATAAATTAAAATTGACGTTTAATTTGCGCGCTTATTATGAATTTGAAAAAATAAATCTCTAGACTATCGCTCAGCCATCGTGTGCATTCGGATATTTTGGAATGTAAGCCTATGTTTAAAAATAAGTTTTAAAGTAATGTTCATTCATCATCTCGATCGATTGACGTATTAATCGAATTATAAGGATTTAAAAAAAAAAAAAAAAAAAAAAGAAAGAAAGAAAGAAAGAAAAAATCCAATGTTAAAACTTTACATAGGAAATGTGATGCGATGTATTATTTTTAGATTTAAGCGTTAGAAAAATGACCTTTCAATTTTATTAAGTATAACGTCTTTATATTCATACTTTTACGAGTTATTTTATCCAAAGTATACTTTAATATTTTGTCTTTTTTCTTTTTATTTTTTTTTTCCTCTAAATGAATATCAAATAACATAATCGTTTCAATTGAGATTGAAAGTTGGACCGTTTTATGAAGAAACTAAGCTAATTTAATATAAAAATGTTATATATAATAGATTCGAAAGGAATTCTCGTATTGATATGAATATTATTAAATTACGCAATCCAATGTTTTGGCTGGACCCTTCACACTGCCTATTTATTGATTTTGTATATTTCTGGGGTAAAGACTTTAAAATATCATAGGCACTATTCATTTGGGTCTAGAACATTGTTAGCATTTCGCACAAATTTCAAAATGTATTTCTTATTTAAAAAAAAAAAGAAAAAAAAGAAAAAAAAAGAAAAGAAAGATGAAAAAAGAATGCAACAAAACATTGCAATGGGGCAACTATTAAAGAAATGCTAAGATTGTTTCATAACCGACAATATGATATTGTCCAGATATTTGTTATATAGAAAGTTATGATGTTACATGAGTGTTATAGAATTTTAAATTATATACAAATTACATGTTAATTGTTTGAAAATATGAAAAAATGGCATAATGTAATTTAAAGAGAGAAAAAAAAGGCAGTATGCAGTGTAGATGATAAGTTTACAAAAAAAAAAAAAAAAAAAAAAAAAAAAAGAAGAAATAAGAAAGAAAAGAAAAAAAAAAAGAACACAATAATTACTTCATATTTACGAAATGAATTTATTCACAAACAAATATTCATACAAAAAAAACATCTGCTATAGTACTCATGTCACAACTATTAATTTACAATTATGTTAAAAAAATTGTTATTTTGCAAGTGCCTTAAAAAATATTTTTGTAATGTATACATTTGATATCTACAAAAAGAAATCATATTTTTGTAACGCATACATCTCATACCTATATCTTCTTCGATGCATTAAAAAATGCAGCTTTATTTTTTCATGTAAATTGAACTATTACAAAGAATTTCATTTTTAAAATATAAAGTTTTTTATTTTTTCTCTTTTTTTTTCTAATTTTTTTTTTCTATTTTTTATTCTAAAACATTTATTTCCTTATAATAAATGCTTCCATATCGTCAATACATTTACATTAATTTCATCTGAAAAATATTTCATTATAATAAAAGTATATACAAGAACCAAATACGTTTTATGGTTTTTTGAAAATATTAGGGTGCATCGATCAAATATCAATTTTTATATAGTTAAAAACTTTGTAGTATTATTTTAAATTAACACTGAATGAAACAATTATGATGACAGACTATATTTGACCATATGTATTATATAAAATATTTATATATTATTCAAATCGATAATTTTTTTCAACCAATATGCATTTTTTCTTATTACTCAATAAGTCTCAAAGTAGTTTGATTGTGTAAGTGTTTTACCAGTACTTAAGTATTAAGAATTGCTTAATGTGTATCAGAATACACTATGAATGGCCCTGTACTATGATCAGTATTTTTTAAATAATCTATTTGCTAATTAGTTTTAGAAATTAATTTTTTCATATTATAATAACAACATATTATTATCCCCTATTATGTTTTGATACATAAAAATTTATTGTAAACATAGTACAAGGCCGTTTTTGTGTTGATTATAATGTTGGGGTATTAATGATTCACTTTGAAACTTGCCACATAGCTGTGTTTCACTCCAACTAACAAAACCTCCATTGTAATATAATTTCCACTATCATAAAGTAAACATTATAATAAAATACATGTATATTTTACCTAGCATAATGATTCCACTTATTATATAATATATTTTTTAATTTCGTTAATTATAAAGTACATAATTATTTTCGTTCAATTTTAATTAGATGTTTATCTAAAACTGGTTTATACGTCAGAATTTTCCCATAACTCTTTAATAATTTTTTCCAAAAGCATAATATATCTTTCATTCTTAATTTATGCCATATAAAATCTCTTCCGCGATTTGCAATTTTTCCCGATAAAATATCATTGTCAATTGCAAATTGTATGAGTTCTCTAAAAAACAAATGTAAACGTTAATTAAATTACAATATATATATATATATATATATATATATATATATATATATAATAATATATAATATAATTTCAGGATAATATAAGTAATAGTATTTAAGTACTTATTTTATATTAAGAAATTATTTTTAATCTGCTCAAAATATGTTATGAGATTACCATATCTTACTTTAAATCAGTTTGACTGGCATCCTTAGGTACAGGAATAAAATGAATCCATGGTTTCATAGCATCATAATAAAATTCTGTCCATTCATCGCCAACATGGAAAACTAAGGATCGACACAGGAACAAATGTTTATATCGAAATGAAGCTGCAACTCCTCTATAGTTAAATAAATACTTATATGCACAATGAGATTCTAATGGAACTTCAGAAGCTGGTGGTGCATGTAATGTATCCTAAAAATTAAAAATTCATATATAAAGATAGAACTTAAATGTAAATTATCAAAGGAAAAAAAAAGGAAAAAGTAAAAGTAACTCACTTCATCTGATTTCCATGCTTGATTCTTTGTATACTGTGCGTCAACTAAGTTTGGATTTTTACGGCTCAATAATATTAAATTATCGCGTTCAGAGCTAGTTCTAGAGCCACGAAAAAATACTTTCTCTTTTTTCTTATTCCATGGTATATTATCGCTAGCTTTATTTAATAATTCACGGTGTTGATCCCACCGTCCAAGACCACGAGGATATAAAGATATAGCAGGTCCTCCTTCCCAAAATGCCCATGCTGGATACATAATATCATAATATTGTGGTGTCTATAAATATTGTGTAATGTGCTGAATTTGGACACCAATTAAGATGATATCGAATTGAATGAGTTTTTTTTTTCTTTTCTTTCTTTTTCTTTTCTTTTCTTTTCTTTTCTTTTTTTTTCTTTTTTTATTTCTTTTCTTTTAAACGACGTTTTTTTCTTTTTTTTTTTTTTTAGATAAAAATAAAATTTGGAAAATATGTTCCAAGCTTATATTAATTTGTATATATATTACCTTGCTGAAAGAAAATACAGGTAGAGGTTTTCCAAAATGCTTATTTGATTGAGGATAATCTCTAGTATTAACAACTAAATCCATGTCAGTTAAGTTATGAATTATTTTCAAAAGAAAATGTTCTATACCAGCGCATCTTGATGGAAACATACAATCTTTCTCTCTGTAAAGCTTTCCTCCTATTATTTGATAAAATGTACCTCTAAAAACAAAAAAAAAGAAAATACAAAAATATTGTGTATCAGTTAAAGAAATTAATAAATAGCAAAATAGTAATGTGTCTGTCAATTTTCAATAGAGTATACATACCTGGTCTTTGCTATATCAATCAATTCTTTACTTATACCATTTTTCTTAAATGGCTTTAAATCTCTAATTATCATATCCTTAAAACATTCACATCTTGTAGCATTGCATTCGATGTAATTCCTTTCAGCATTATGAATAGCTTCAATATATTTTTCATATTTTTCAATTGAAGCTATAAAAAAAAAATTATATATATATATATATATATTATAATACAAATCCAATAATCATTATTTTCCTATAGTATGCATTAAAGAATATATATATATATATTTTTTTTATCTTTAACACAAAGAACACAACATATAAATAAAATAAAATAAAATAAATACCTTTCGTATATTTATAACCTTCATCTCTTCCCTCACAATTTTCTGCGTCATTAACTTTGCAGTATCGTTCGACACAGTGTCCTTTTAAAAAAATTATTAATAAAACAATAAAACTTAAGCACTTCATTCATACGCCGTAGTTTCAATTTTTATATATACCAAATAAAAAAGTAACTTCCAATTGTTTATATACTATGTAAACCTTTGTAAAACTTTCTTATTAAATATCAGCACTAATTGAACAATATTATATATACACAATAGAATTAACCAATCATTTTTAATACAATGTATTTATTTTTTGATTATTTGTTACTCAAAAAATGATCATAAAATTGATTGGTTATAATCGTTAATATCTAACATCGTTTAAATTTTCTAAGCTCAACGGTTGCCTAATACTTCTGTTTGCTTCTCCACATAGATTCTATACTCATACTTAGAAAAAAAAGGGGGAAAAAAAAGAAAGAAAAAAAAAAAAAAAAAAAAGAAAAAAGAGAGAAAAAGAAATCAGAACTACACCTTCTTATACAGAGTTATTCTACGATTTAATAAATAAGTATTATTAAGAAAAGAAATATGAGAAAAAAATAGAATAACCGCCTGTTGAAATATACAAGTCAATTAAATTATGTCAATATTATTATCTTTATTAAAAAAAAAAAAAAAAAAAAAAAAAAAAAAAAAAAAAAAAAATAAAAAAAAAAAAAAAAAAAAAAAATAAAAAAAAAAAAGAGATAAAAATAAAAATGATATTTACAACAAGAATTGTTTATAATACTTACATCATACTTGGCTATCTTTAAAACCTCAAGAAGACATCTGGTGAAAGTTTCATCATACTCTTTCAATTGATTATCTTGGTAAACTGGTTCGAATCTTTAAATATTGTTTCGTTATCAACGGTTTACATAGTAGAGATAAAATCGTAAGTGATAATACTTTATTTTAAATGTCATTCTGTAATAAGAAAGTTTATAACATTTTCTAAATTATTATATTGTTAACTTATTACAATTTGCATTAATATTGACTAATATTTATCTTATAATTGCAGCTAACCTATAAAAATTTACTTTGAAAATGGCTGCCAACAATTTGAAAAAAGTAACGCATTGTATTTTTGATATGGACGGGTTATTGTTAGGTATAGTATCTATCTATCCATTTATTATTATATATATAACTATAGAAATATTAGATAGTTAAATTTTTAATTCCATTTTATTTTTAATAATTCAATTGTATTAAAGAGAATTTTTACCATAGACATACTTTATTGTTTTTAAGAAAAGAAATATATAATAAATCATCCTTAATAAATACAATGTATGTTACAAAATATCTCTTTATTAATGTTTAGATACAGAGGTTTTGTACTCCAAAGTTTTCAATCAAATTTCTCAAAAATATGGTAAAGAATATACTTGGGAACATAAAATAAAGATTATGGGATTTAAGTCTAACGAATCTGCAAATGCCATTGTCGATATGTTAGAATTACCAATTAGTGGATCAGAATTTGAAAATCAGCTTGCAGCTATATATGCTGACGTTTTTTCAAAGTGTAATTTAATGCCAGGTATATATTAATATATTTAAAAAATCACTCATGTTACAAATTTATATTAACATTTAACATAGTTTGTAAAATAATACCTTTATATATTGTAAAGAAATATCATGTATTTATGTAGGTGCAGAGCGTCTTTTAAAGCATCTGAAAAATAATAATATTCCAATCGCACTTGCAACAAGTTCTGCTAAAACAACTAGTGACATAAAAACGCAAAGATGGGAGCACATTTTTGATATGTTTCATCATAAAGTTTATGGTGGTACAGATCCAGAGGTGAAAAAAGGAAAACCACATCCTGATATATTTTTAATAGCTGCTCAACGGTTTCCTGATAAGCCTGAACCTTCAAAGGTCTTTAAGTTTATAACTTTGTTTAATATAATATTAAAGTTATATTAAAAAATATAACTTGATATGATATTGCAGTGCCTAGTATTTGAAGATTCTCCAAATGGAGTAGAAGCTGGTATTGCTGCAGGAATGCAAGTTGTAATGGTGCCGGATCCTTTGTTGGATAAAAAATATCTTGAAAATGCAACAATCGTATTGAAAAGCCTTGATGATTTTCGTCCAGAACTATTTGGTTTACCACCGTATTAATTAAACAAAAACAATTTCAGTAGCCATAAATTTTTCTAAACATAATTCTAAATCGATTTAAACGAACAAGGGCTTATTAGAAAGGTAAAAATTTATTACAGAAAACTAATTTCTAAGAATTTCGATAAATGATTAAGTTCTCATTTAAATGTACAAGTATTTCTTTTTTTTTAACAAATGTAATACTTTTTTTAAAATTGGACAATTATCTCGTGTGTCAACGTTTTATATTTTGAATGAATCCTTATTCATAAAGATCGATTTATAATTGTCCTTAGGAGAATTAGGTAATTATACCGTAAATTATTGCAATGTGCTGCATAGATTTATCATGTGGTTATGCTTGTGTCACACTTTGTGTTACACTATGCCACTTCAAAAAATAAGCATATCTAATATTCGGTAAATGGTTTAATTAATATTTATTGTTATTTCAAAAAAGTTAATAAACTATAGATTTTGAATAAAATTAAAAAAGATTTAGATATATATATATATATATATAATTAATTAATTAATTTATAAACAATGATTTTAGACAATGTATATTTTTATATGCCTTTTGTTTTTTGCATTGTTACTTTATTATTATCTGAAAGATAACAGTCATGATACTTATGCCAAAGTTATGCAATGTTTCAAATGAAGATTCGAAGATGACAGGCACTTTATATAAATTATTACTGATTTATTATTACAGATATTATTTTATGTTTATATTATATTGTGTTCAAAAGGATTCTTTTATTACTAAAAAAAAAGTATTATGTTTTCTAGTTTATATAAATGTTATTTGATAAAAAAAAAAAAAAAAAGCCATATATTGTTTATCCATTTAGTTACTGTACTGTGTAATGAAAAAATATTGTTTCATAGGTTTTTACTTGTTACAAAAAAGTATTGTTGCATTACATATCCATATATATATAAGTAATTCTATCTATAAATTACCTGTCCTTACCATTATAAGATATGTATTAATTTCAAGTCAGATAATTTGTTAAATGTTAAATGTTAAATGTCTAATGTCTGATGTCAGCTAAGCTTTTTAATTCACGATAAAAATGAAAAGAGCACAGTATATGTACACAAGCATACACGTCCATACGATAAATCAAGAGAAGGGATAAATGTTCTTCTTCGGAAGGGATAAATGTTCGTCCTTCTAACGCGCTTCTAGTACATTTTTTTCCACGTTCGTCACTGATTTATACATAATTCGAGCGAGGGAGGTGATGAACAGCCTTTTGAAACATAGTCTAATATAATTGTAAAAAGTAGAATATATATATATATATTCTATATATATAAAATCTGCAGGCAGATTTTCTATAGGATCAATTTAAACAATTAGACAAATTTTTTTTCCCCTCCAAAATCTACTAAAAATGATATATTAAAAAAAAATATATATATATATATTTTCTTAATTAGTTCAAATAAAAGTTATAACAATTATGATAACATAAAGAAAAAAAAGGAAAAACGAATAATTAAAATCATATCCTGCCATATATTTAGAGACTTTTTTAGTTGATTAAGTTCATTATATGTAAATTCTTTATCTATATGTTATGTATAGATTTTTCAAATATCATATACATACGCATGATAGATTTTATATTTTGTAATTTTTACATTATCATTATTGATTATATACATGTTTAGTGTATATATTATTAAATTCCTGTTAAAATTGTTCCTATAAATTAAAAATAATTATTTTGAATTTTTGCTTTTTTAATTTATATATAACTATTTTATTTGATAACTAAGCAATTATGATACATATCTATATTACAAGGTAGAGTACATTCATGGTTTTGAGGATACAAGTTGTTTGAGCCTTTCAAGAATTTCTTCAGATTTTAAGCCATTCAAAGATATATTTCGTTCTACGCCATATTCTGAAATATTGTAATATATATAAAAGATTATTATAACAAAAATATAACATATTATCTGTCAAGAATTTCTTGAATTTTCATTATATTTTATTATTAAAATACAATATCAAATATTTATTTTTCAATATTATTTTAATTATAATCTTAACAATATTGCAAAATTTATGTAATACTAATATGATAAAATTAATATTATAAAATATAACTTACCATAACGTGCATATAGTTTTGGTTCAATTAAAGAACATTCCCGAATTAAAATTGGAATTTTTGGATTACTTTTTTTAATAGTGACATACTTCTGTTTTATGAAGTCTCTGGAAACAAATTTAAAAACAATTAGGTTAGAGTTGTAATCAAATAATTGTATCACTACTAAATCTTCTTAATTTTAATATTTCCTTCTTTTATTACGTGGAACATTTATTTACCTAACTCCTTCGCTTGACTTTGACGTCTGACATAAAAGAATTCGCAATTCCTTTAAATGCGATCCAAATTTAATCGCGGCCATCTTTGAATTGCTCTCTTCAGTTACTACTTATGTCATACGATTATTATATTACCAAAAAAATAATAGTTCAATATACTTTTCTAAATTTAAATTTATATTTCCTAAAATTATCTACCTAATTATATAAGGTTATTAGTTTGAATAATATATAAAAAATTGTGAATAGATTAAAACCCGCGAAAAAAATCATAGATTCAAAATTTAAAAAACAATATTAATCACGTGATATATATATACACATTCATATATATATATATATTTTATCATAATTTGAATATTATGTATGTATAATGGAATAGAAATGTTAATATTTATGAATTAGTATGTAAAATAGGTTTATTCTGTTAATTCTGTATGTAGTGACACTGTATGACATATTCTTGAAGACTATAATGACATTACAAATTACCTTCATAAACTAAATCTTATATATCCTTAACCAACGTTTCTTTCATAAAATGTAATAAATCGTTTCACTGAAACTACTACCATTTTTAATTTATCTATCCATCAGGTTTATATCAGATATACTGTATAGAAGCATTAATACAGAAATGCATAGCTACATTATATACATATACATCCACATTTTACTTAATTTTAAATATAGTATTTGACATTAGAGCTTTCTTGGCAACAATTTTGCTTTATATTAATATCCAAAATTTTAATAAATAATAATTAATCTGACTAATAAGTAAATTCAGTAATTATTTTTGTATATGTATATTATATCTACAATATCAAAAGTATCTATATATCTAAAAAAGTGTCAGAATAAATTTGAAATTTAATCAAATAAATTATATTCATTATGTAATCATTTTAAATATAAAAATGACTATAGACAGGTGTCAGTATAAACAAATATGTGCCAAGGAAACTTATTACCATTAATATATATCAACATAGGACACGTACTTTTTATGAGACAAAATAATTATTGAGATCTGCTTGTAAATTGATATATATCTATATATATATATATATATATATATATGCATATATACATACATATATATAAAATGCCTAAAATATTTTTAATAGGAATTAATTACTATAATTAAAATCAATGACATCCAAATAATGAACATTAAAGAAATACCTTTTACTTTTTTACAATGTTAAGTTAAATGCTAAAAATTGAGTATGCTATTTCTATAGAACATTGTGTATATTAGTAGATGATAAGAAAGGACCAAGATTCTTTTATGCTATCTGTATGATTAAAGCAAAAAAGCTTTTCATATTTTAATAGTTTATTTACAAAATAAAAAAAAAAAAAAAAAAAAAAAATAAAAAAAAAAAAAAAATAAAAAAAAATATAATAAAAAACCCAGGAAATACAGCAATTAAGAGAAATATATCATATCTGTTACTATAATTTTCATGAATAATCTATATGTTATACAAATGTCTGAATTACAATACATTATATCTTTTTCGTATTTCCATTTTATGGAACATTACGCAAATTTATTTTGTTTTAATCATCCTAAGGTTCATTGTTTATTTTATTATTGTGTTAACACAATATAAATATAACAATAAATTAATAGATCTCCATATTAAAAAAATTTATGATGTTGATATATTATGAAAACAATTGCAATAAAAATGCATTACACATTAGTTAGTAATTTTGTACTAACATTTGGAAGTAGTAAATATTTGGTTACAATTGTTCAATTAGATGGAGATATATATGTAGATGAAATTTTCTATCTCACAAGGTCAACAAATCCAGTTCTAAAAAATAGAATTTGTAAGTCTTGGACATAAGATAATACTCCCACTTCTATAAAATTATTATCTATATACTAGTATTTACATTAAATCACCTAAACGTTAGGCAAATTATTGTATATCTAATATCTCATATTTTTCTATAAAATTGGAGGCAAAGTAAAAATTACAGCCATATTTGCCCCACAGTTCCAGTTTCATATTCTAACATGGTATGAACAAATTGTACGACTTATATATATATATATATATATATATATATATATATATATATATAGATTATTTAATATATTTACATTATTATTATCATATAATTTAACATTCTTTTTTTTTCTTTTTTTATTTGTTAAGGGCTAAGATAATTTTTTTTCTTTTTTTCTTTTTTTTTTTTTTTTTTTTTTGATATAAGAAAATGCTGAATGTGTTTTGTTTTTGCACCTTTATGTTAAAAAAGTGGAAATATCAGTATGTAAAATAGTTAAAATATATGTAGCTAAAATATGTGTGACTTTTCGTCATTGTATGTACAAGTGGCAAGTTTATGTTGTTTAATTTTTTTTTAATTCACTGTATAATTATATACATTTTCTTTTAAAAGGTATTCCATAATTTGCTATATTCTTTATCTTTTTTCTTTTTTTCTTTTTTTCTATTTTTTTTTCTTTTTTTATTTTTTAATGTACAACAGCTTCATGTAGTAGACAAGAAAAAGAATCTGTCTCTTTCTTGTTTTTATCTACATATTTTTGTACCTATATTATCTAATATATCTTCTATCCAATTAAAAAGATTAAGATTTATTATTCTTACATTGAAAAAAAAAAAAAAAAAAAAAAAAAAAAAAAAAAAAAAAAAAAAAAAAAAAAAAAAAAAAATAAGAATAAAAAAAAAAAAAAAAAAAAATAAGAATAAAAAAAAAAGAAAAGAAACAAAAAAAAAATTAGAACAGTCAAAATATACAAGACTTACTTTTATTAAATAGTATATTGTACTTTTATATTAAATATTTCTCTATTTTTCCAAATATAATTTGTAATGTTTTGAATAAAAGTCATAATCTTTGATAAAATTTCAAAGCATTATAGTTCCAAGAACTTGCCTTTTATACTATACAACTAGATTAATTGTTCAGTTTATTTATATACGTTCAATTTTCAATTTCATATAACAATGACAAATTTTCAAATTCAAAATAAATTTTGTTGGTGCAAATACATGTCATCAAACCTAATATAAAAATAACTAAATAAATTTTAATAAGTAGATATTTTAATAACTTTCAAGAGAAAAATAATTCCAAGACTTTAGATTAGAACAAAATAGTTGGTTATCGATGCTGTTGTACAAGATTTATCTTTTTATATCTGAATTATCAACTATTACTTTTTTTTTTCGCTATTATGGGCGAATTACAGTTGCTTGCCATGAAACGCTGTTCACATACTACGAACGACTATAGTCAATGTACAATATTTTGTCTATAGTAGATTATTTGTTTGTCCTCTTTACCTTTTATTTTTTTTTATTACTATTTTAATTTTTATTATCAAAAAAACTCTCCAAGGCATAAGAAGTAAATTCGAAACGCCAGAGACTGTTTCAGCGCGCGAATTTTACACTTATAGCATGGAGACCCTAATCATATTTTAGCGATCAATTCCGCTACCACGAAAGGGTTAATAAGATCCAGAAATGAAATATAATTATTTATCATCCTGATAATAGCTTTACGATTATTATATCGCATAAGCTTTATCTTATAAGATTTTCTTTTTCTCTCTCTCTATATATATATACATATATATATATATACATATACATATACATATATATATATTTATATTTATATATTTATATATATTTCATCCTAATCAATTATTCGTAACTATTTTGTCATGTATAATGCATAATTTTATTTAAACACTTTGTCACACATCAATTTGTATATCACTGTCTTCTGCTTCACTTTCAGTACTAACTATAGCATCTTCTCCTACTAATAAAGCTGCAGGCAAATTTTGTGGAACGTTATCAATATCAAGTCTTGGAGTGGAATAGACATTTAATACTTGAATTGTTGTAGGAGATGTTGAAAGACATTGTGACACGGATCCTAAGGGATCTGAGTTTAGTTCATCACAATCCAAGGGAGTAGACAGTTGTAATTGCAGGTTATGAAGTTCTGGTATATGTGGGCGGATCTGCAATATATATACATAGATGTATACATATATATACGCACCTGTGTATATAGGATATAATTAAACAATCATTGGTAGTATAAGATACAAATTACAACGTCTTAGAGAAAACAATAATAATATTACAATACCTTTAAACCATCAGCTGTATGAGGATTTCTACAACCTCTACATCTACATTCAATACATGGTTTACTTTCAACATAACAAGGGCATCTTTGGCCACAACATGTTAATTTTCCAGGTATAGCTGTAGCATTACCACATCTGCATCCTTTTCTTTTGCTCCTAGTAGAACTTGATCGTGGCTTTTTAAAACTGCCCGAGGACTGCATATAACAGAGCAAGCCATGTTATTATTGATAAAAGAAAAAAAAAAAAGAGAAAAAGAAAAAAAAAGAAAAAAAAAAAAAAGAAATAAAAATAAATAAAAAAGAGGTAAATAGTGCAGATTAATGCAGAGGTGTATGTACATGTTTTATTAATGTGCATGCTTAATTGGTTAAGATGACTGATTATGAAATTATGTGACATCTGCATTAATCTCATTATGGGACCAAGGAGAATATAATACAAAACCTTTCTGGGACAAATGTTAGTATGGACTAATGAATGATATATGCCAAGGTTAAAAATTAATATTCACAAAATTGTGTTAAATGTTATGCAAATTCAAGTAAATTATTGTACCTTACAAGTAGCATTAACGAGGATGCACATCATTTAGCATTTATATAAAAATTACAGTGCAATGTATATTTCCTGTAAGGCATAAGATTAACCGAATATCTATTGAAATTACTTTGCTGCCCTTTGAAGATTTTTTCTGAGAAGGGGTCCCATATTTAAGTTGGGAAGATGGAATGCATTTTACCCCTCCTACAGAGCCTTGTTGTGTTCCATCCATTTCCTGTTGTCCTACTTCTATTTCTTCTGTGGCCGCTGCTTTCCGTTTTATCGTTATTTTGTTACCAGACCCAGCGTACATCACCGAATATATCGAAGATCCATTTGAAACTGTACGAATAGTTGGCGACTCTAAAATCCAATACATTATATGAGAACTATATCTTTGTAAATAAATATATTGAAATAGAATAATAATTATTTTAATATCTGAACGAACCAGGTATGTTTTGCGAAATATTCTCAGAAGTTGACATAGTATTTCCTTGAGTTTGAGTAGAGGTAGTACTGGTATAAACACAAGGGAGAATACTGTACGCTGATTTAGATAAACCAGCGGTACTTTTGAATTCGTCTTTAAAACCGGTCCCTTCTTGTATGAGTTCCATGAGACTAGTAGCACCAATAGCCGATGGCCCATTGCTTGTTGTATTGGAAGACACGGAGAGTATTAAGCTCCGATAAATATTTGTGCTTGTTAAATATTCACACAGTTTTTTGTAACACTGTAACAATATCCGAAGTTGGACGTTTTCAACATATTTATCATAATCCTTGCACCAACTACACGATGGTTTGAGTTTTTTACGACCACCTCTACATCCACGACACACATGATGTTGACAGTTCGTTTCAGTCGGTGTATGCGGCTCGATCAACAAATTCGAACACACTGTACAACTCAAGCTCTGCCGCAAGTACGGAACTAGCCTATACAAGTCTGTCCATGAATTTGGATCTTCAGAATCCGCTTGTAAAACCAACCGACATGTCGATACGTAAAGACTCGTAGCGTTCATCTTCCTCCGTCCTAACTCCACGAGAAATTTATTTGATTACCGCGAAAAATTATCTAAACATAGCCGTAAAGCATAACCATTTTTACACACAAACAAAACACCGGCCATGTTTAATTTTAAGATGTATTTTTTTCTTAATTTCAACAGATGTCGTTGTATTCGCCTACTAGTACGCCAACTATCGTCGAGTAGTAATGATAATGTGCATGTACATCATTTCTAACAAAAATCGTGTTTGATATATGAAGATCCGCGATTTCGTTTAACGAATAGCAAGTAAAGCGAAATTATACCGCTTTTATTGTGAAACGAAAATTTTTGATTTTAAACGACGATAGATTCTAATAATTTATCATAGAAATATTGTAATTATTATAATTGCTCAAATGTTTCAAGATTGCACTAAATCCTTTCTTCGAGTATTAGATACAACATAGAAAACGAATTGGTTGTTAAGACGTATTTGAAACACGTTATATGAAAGGAAATTAATTATTTTCGATAACGTGTGTTCCATTTATTATTTAATTTAAATTAATTAATTAATATGTAATATTTGTGCGCTTCTTTGATTATTATATTCATGTCACTATTGTAGGTTACGTATTACACTTTACAGATGGCGGATAAAACTATAATGAAGGTATAAAATAATAATGTATATTTAAAGTTTTTCGATGTTATAGTTTGAATGTTTAATTTATTACATGTACGTCTTATTTTTTTCTCATTCTAGCAAATTACAGAGCAAAAGCTCAAAGCATTTTCCATTGGTACAATGGGAAAACGTCCGTTGAGTAAAAAAGAATTAGAAGAACAACGTAAGAAAGAACAAGAACAGGCTGCTGCTCAAGTAGGCATTAAAAATTATATACAGTATACTTTTTTTAAGTACTTTGCCATTTATATATATATATACATATATGTATATATATATATATATATATATATTATATATGTATTTTATATGTATTCTTAAATAGGCATTCGAAGAATTTGTAGCGACATTTCAAGAGACCCCTAGTAAAACGACAAGTAAAGTTTGGGTAAAAGCTGGAACGTATGATGCTGGCAAAAGACGTACGTTTCAATGGTTCTTAAATCGTTAATCCAAAGGAATAATCTTTAATTATAAATTATATAATATTTTTTTACAGAGGAAGATACAAGAGAGAAAGGAAAATTATATAAACCACAATCTAAAATATCTGAATTGGTTGAAAATAGATCATCAGCAGAGCAAGCGCAAGAATATGCAAGACTTCTTGGTTCAAATGAACGTAAACTGGATAGATTGGGCAAAAAGAAAAAAGAAGGAGAAAAAAAGAAGAGTAATCTTGAATTGTTCAAAGAAGAACTTAAAATGATACAAGAAGAACGTGAAGAAAGACACAAGTATAAGGGTGTAGTTAAAACTGTAATTTCTACTCAGTCTGAAGATCCAATGATGGCTGCATTAAAATGTGTTGAAGGTATATATAAATATTATGTGAATTATATTATAAGAGAACTCTTTACCAATCGAATTGTTCATATCGCATTATCTTTATTTATCTAAATTTTTTTGAGTCCATAATTTTTGAATTTTTTTATGAGTTCTCGGTATACTTAAAATTTTAATAGGTGGTATATCCCCATATCCAGATCCACGAAAAGCTAATCTACGTAACTTCATTGATGATCCTCGTCTCCTTGCCCTGATGTATGAGGGTAATCCCATACCTCTGCTCCTTTCTCTTCCTTAAATATTAAATTTTTATATTTTATAAATTAATAATAAATCAAAATATTTCAATTTTATAGATGGTTCGTTCGATAATGGTGATCCTAATACGACAAATTTATACTTAGGAAATCTAAATCCTAAGGTAAAACTGCACGTTTGGTCTATATTCAAAATATGATTAAAACATTCGTTTAATTAATAATTGTTTATGTTTATTCACAGATTACAGAGCAACAACTTATGGAAATTTTTGGCAAATATGGACCATTAGCTAGTATTAAAATCATGTGGCCACGTAGTGATGAAGAAAAAGCAAGACAAAGAAATTGTGGATTTGTAGCATTTATGAGTCGTAAAGATGGAGAACGGGCATTAAAAAATTTAAATGGTAAGTGATAATCTCCTTAAAATTCTAAATTTTATAAATATTTGTTAAAACAAAATATAATGGATAAATGAATTATATTGAATATATTTATTTTTTGTAATAATAATAATAATAATACAAATAATAATGAACAAATGATTTGTGTGATAATAAAATAGGTCGTGATATAATGCAATATGAGATGAAATTAGGCTGGGGAAAAAGTGTACCAATACCACCATACCCTATCTACATTCCACCTGCTTTAATGGAGATTACACAGCCACCGCCTCCATCTGGTCTTCCATTTAATGCACAACCACATCGCCGTGACAGACACAAGGTACATGAATTAAACCAATTGAAAGGTGCAGTTAATAAAATAATCAATCTCGTTTTAACGAATTTCGTTTTATTATTATATTACAATTACCCTTTTTATCTATCATACATATTGTTTAAAAATTTAGTTAAGAAGTATTTTCTCTTCAAAGATATACATTTTTTACTTGTGTGCTTTATATATATTATCATAAAAAAAGCAAGATTTTTTAAAATCATCTTAGAATTTAGTATTAAATAATAATAATGATAATAATAATAATAATAATAATAATAATAATAATAATAATAATAATAATAAAAATGATAATAATAATAACAATAGTAATAATTTTATAGACTATTTTCCTTTTATGTAGGTACTCCATAATTGTTTTGATTATTGAACACGTTTTCACTTGTTAAACTTAAATTTTATAGTATTTCAGACATTTTTGTCAAGTAATATTTAATAATATATTTTAATTAGATTAATTTTCCAATATTTAATTTTTATCATAATTCCATCTATTTATATACTTATTACAAGCGGTAAGGTAAATGTATTGCTCAGTGGAAGCAATAAGTTATTTATTTATGTTATATATATATATATATATATATATATATATATATATATATATATATATATATTCACTTATTTAGTGAAATAAGATTATTACAAAGAAATGTTTATGACATTTTTTTCCACCAATATTTATTAGAAACATATAACCATTTTTGAAACATAATCTCAGATACCACGTATCCGCAACCTCCAGAGTGCAGATCCCCAGGAAAAGGAAAACTTCGAAAAGGTAATAGTATTTTAATGTTATTCTATATATTTTGTTAGAATGTCTTTTGTTATTCCAGTGTAGAAAATATTATAATGTAATTATATGGAAAAAAAATATTATGCCAAAGTAGGCTTCTGTAATGTTTATTACAAAAACCTGCTTCTCAAAATAAATTGCTTTCAATAACAATAGATATTATTTTGGTATACATGTCATATAAAGTTTATTTATATAAAAAAAGAAACATGCCTTCAGTAAACTACACAGTGATATACTTATCTCTTTTTTTTTTCTTTTTTTTATATATATATATATATATTATATTAATATTAATAATTATAATATTTCATTTCTGTATATTTATAACTTTTTAATGTAATTGAATATGAAAGCATGACATCTTTGGATAATGAAGTTATAAGAGCATTTTAGATAAATGTAACTGGTAAGTGTTGCATATGAGAATAACAATCCCAGATACATTTTGGCAAGTTAAATATAGAAAAAAAAATATTCTAAAATTAATGATAGGCATATAAATGTTCCTATCATGATATCAAGATATCTCTAATCTACGTTTACAAATTGTGTTGTGTTAATTTGTTGGCGACCATTCTTGGGGTGCACATTGTGGAATGTGGATTGGAACACTCTATCGACTGTTACTATTACACTGTGATCTGGACTGTCACAGGTTCTGCAGAATGCAGTTGTCAAAGTGGTTATTCCAACCGAAAGGTATTTGTTGTTTTTAGTTGATTCTGAATTTTCTGTAAGTATACATGCAGGAAATTTAACACAACCTCAAGAAGATAGACCCTGTTATTTCCGATTTATGAAAACACGTATTTAATAAAACTCTGCGTTATAGGAACTTAGTCATGTTAATACATAGAATGGTGGAATTTGTAATTCGGGAAGGTCCAATGTTTGAAGCAATGATAATGAATCGAGAATTAAACAATCCCATGTTTAGGTTTGTTTTGCATTGATTATAGAATTTCGCATAAAAATTTAATGTTTGTATTTATAAAAAGAAATGTTTTCATCAAAGGTTTTTATTTGAAAATTATTCACCTGCACATACATATTATCGTTGGAAATTATATTCTATTCTGCAAGGAGATGGTCAGAAAGAATGGCGTACAGAAGATTTTAGAATGTTCAAAGGTGGAAGTGTATGGAGACCTCCACCTATTAATCCATGGACGCAAGGTATGCCCGACGAATTAATTGAAATGGAAGAAAGACAGGAACCAAGAAGAGGTAGCTTATCTAACAGGTAAGTTACAATGATTTCTTTCAACTACTTTTACATATAAATGTAATAAAAATATATAATAAAATTATATTTTTTTTTTTTTTCATATAGTCAAAGAGATAGACTAGAGGATTTATTAAGGAATATATCACCAGAACGAATAAAAGTTGCAGAAGCAATGGTTTTTTGCATAGAACATGCAGAAGCGGCTGAAGAAATATGTGATTGTATTTCAGAGTCATTATCAATACTTCAAACACCTGTTAATAAAAAGATAGCAAGATTATATCTTATATCTGATGTTTTACACAATTGTGGTGTAAAAGTTACTAATGCTACAATTTATAGAAAAGCGTAAATATATATATTTCATAGTAACACGTAATAAATATAATATATATATATATATATATATATATATTCATGTAATAATTATATGTATATTACAGTTTCGAAACACGTCTTCTTGATATTTTCAATGAAGTACATCAGGCTTATAAACAATTTGACAGTCGATTAAAGGCAGAAGGATTTAAAGCACGTGTGATGAGAATGTTCAGAGCATGGGAAGATTGGGCAGTTTATCCAAGAGACTTTCTTGTTAAACTACAAAATACATTTTTGGGTCTTGTTATGGTAAATATTAAATATTTTATTAAAATTAAATATCACATTATGATATATATATATAATAAACAAAATTTTTTTTTCTTTTTTACTTTAGTTAGATGAGCCTGAACCAGAAAATGAAGAAGATATAGATGGAGCACCTTTATCTGATGTTGATGGTGAAGGTGGAGAAGATTTAGATGGTGTACCTTTGGATGGTGCAGCTTTACTTAAAGGAGCAATGAAACATGGACTTACACCGCAAACAACATCCAATTATGATGACATTGATGGAGTACCCAGTAAATATTTATTATTTATATTTAATATATAATGAATATTTTTTATTAAATTTATTTTATATAGTGGATGAAGATATTGATGGCGTTCCTATGGATGATGAAGATAATATGAATGTACGAAATAAAGAAGACGAAAAGAAACCAGCAATGCCAGCTGGTTTTGTACCTTCAAGATGGGAAACTGTGGACCCAGACCAGGTTTTCAAACATTTTTTTTATCCCTATATATACATATATATTAATGGCTTCTTTTATTAAATAGACTAAAAAAAAAAAAATAATAATAATTGAAAACAAATTTTAGTAGAAATACTATCATAAATATCTTCTGATTTAATAGGTTGAAGCACAAGCTATGACTACTAGTAAGTGGGAAGAATTAGGTCAGAATGACGATTCAAATTCTCAAGATGCTAGTATGGATTCCAGGTAATATATATACCCTAAGGTAACAGCATGGTCCAAGTATCGCGAACGTTTCAAAAGATTAAACTGAAAATATGTTGAGAATTTAAAGTTTTATATTCATCAAACACTGTATGTCTATAGTAGTAGAGATTACAATGAAGAAAGGCGTAATAGGTTACGTGAAATAGAAGTTAAAACTATGCAATATCAAGATGAACTTGAAAGTGGTAGGAGAACATTAAAATCTGGTATGACAATTCAAGGACAAGTTGAACATTATAGGAAGAAATTAATAAGGAAGGTAAAATTTTTTTATTTATTTATTTTTTTTTTATTTTTACATAATAATATCCCATCAAAGAAAAATTATTATTTGTTATATATTATAGAGCGAAAGGGAAATGAAGGACCTGAAAACTGACGACCGAGAAGATGATAGAAGGAGAGAGAAGAAACGTAGTACAACCCCGGAATCTCCAAGTCATTACAGGGATCGAAGGCGATCAACGAGTCCTTCATCTAAGAGCAATAGATATAGGTACGTATATTCACCTATATTCTTAAAAAAAAAAAAAGAAAAACAACACAATATTACATTTTATTCATCGAATGATTAAATAAAAAGACAATTACATTAAGAAAATATCTATATATATATTATTTTATTGTATTTACATTATCCATTAATCTTTACATCTGTTTTCATATTCACTATTCATTTACTAGATTTTTAAGTATTATGATTGTGTATATATATATACATATACATATATATATATTGTATGCGTGTTCTTTTAATTATTTATAATATTGTGGGACTTCAAAACGACTGCATTTATCGCGTTAATGATATAAAAAAAATAATATACTAGAAAAATATTGAAGTAATAAACAACAATAATTATAAATCTTGTAACAGCACATATTTTAAGATATACATACTGATACTTTACAAGCATTAATTAAATTAACATTCACAAAAAAGGAAAAAATAAAAATAAAGAAAACAAAAAAATATATATGATGAGGTAATAGTAATTAATAAGGATGTCTTCCTATGATCTTAATATGATCTATTATTATTATATTGTTTTAGATCCCGCAGTAGATCACCGCGTAATAAACGTAGATCGCGATCACCATATAAAAAGCGTGTACCAGTGACTCCATCGCCTCCTCGTATTCGACGTACACCATCACCTTCTCTTTCTTCATCTAGAACATCAAGAAGATCGCCAGGCAGTGAACGTAATGATCGAAAAAGACGTGGTAGATCTCCATCTTTGTCACCTCCACCGCCACCTCGTACTTCCTCTAAACATAGAGCTAATAGTCCACCTTCGCCTTCTCCGCGTAAGCACAGACATAAGCATAAGTATTAAGTTACTTTACGCTTAATCCGTTAATTTTTGCCTGTAAAAGAATCATGAGTTTGAGTATATATTATATGCAATTTTACATTACCATAGTCTTATAACAAGAATGCTCCAATATTTTACTAAAAAATATTACAACAGATATTTTAATACTATGCTGTTAAGTAAAAAAATTCTAATCGTAAGGTTTCAACTTTAGTATTTTATATATATATATATATATATATATATATATATATATCTCCATTATGATGTTAAGGTCTTTGTGAAGGTAAATATTTATGTTTAAAATGTGTGATATTCTTCTACGAAAATTTTCTTTTAGATTCTAAAAACTATCAGTTTCTCCGATGTACAGATCATGACGCTTTAAGGTAATTAAAAGTAATTGCTCTTTTTATTTCTTAATAAAGAAAAAAAAAAATATCTTTATCATTATTAAAAAAAAAGGCAAGAAATTGTTATACCTCAAATATATGGTTATAAGATGTATTTACTTATATGTACATAATTCTAGTTAAAATAAAATAATTCAGCTTTCATTGATTAAATATATATAAAACAGTTTTAAGAAGTATTATTGGGAGGACCATTAATTATATATATCATATCAACTAACAATTATAAAATTAACATAAAACTTCTATATTATAATATGTAAAAGAATCTACTATATATCAATTATCACGTTATACAATATTTATTTCAATTTATATATTCGTAGATTAAATACATATATAAATGTAAAAAGCTTGATATATACATATAGGGTAATCTCTAATTAAATATTACTCTAATAATTATTCTATTTAAATTGATTTTTTATATATATATATATACATGTATATATATATATATAAAATCAATTTTTTATAATCTTACCTAATAATGTCACAATTAAAATTTCTTCTTAAGATCTTCATGAAAATACACATTTTACTTTCATCATATCCCTACTGCTTTCATCTTGCTGTTTTTGATTATTGTATTATCAATTCTTTTCTGGTAAGTTATTCTTCTCTCATCTTCTAATATTAGGAAGAAAATTGGAATGGGTGATTAGGACAGATCACTATGAAAGATTTTTATAATATTGTCATGTAAATACAAGAAATCATATAATCACGATAGATTTTCACATATATTTTTGAATAATAATATATTAATTGGTATGTCTATAGCTTCTTTCTTTTTTTTCTCTCTTTTTTTTTTTCTTTATGATATTACTGCTTCAAGTAACACGTTTAGAAGATGAAAAAATGTCAACAATTATTGACTAATACTAAACCCGAAGCTATTGCTTTTAATTGCAAATCAATTAATATGAGTTTACACAGAAATATTTACAGAACAATTATATATAAAAAAAAAAAAAAAAAAAAAAAAAAAAAAAAAAAAAAAACATCCAAGTTGTATATTGTGTTGACAAAATTAAAACATATGAAATGATCGATGGAAATAGTGGATAATGTTAAGGATTATGAGGGTGAAATTTAGTCATCAATTTCCTAAACATAAAAATAAAATAATTATTAATTTTTATAAATAAATAAATAAATATATATATATATATATAAAATTATTAATTTTAATTTCAATCTTTTAATGTTATTATTAAACATTACAAACCAGAGGTATTTCTTTTTCTTCGTATATCACCAAATCGTCCATGGTTGACATATTTCGAAAATCGTTTATTGCTTTACCACCCTTTGTTGTAGAAACTCCTTGTTTAGGGCTAATCACAGATTTATCTGTAGCCGAAGGTACAGGTTTAGACGATCCTGTTGTCTCTTTAGGTGCTTTTATACCTGCCAATAAAAAAAGAAAAGAAAAAAAAACAAAACATTTTTATCAATTTGTTAATCGCATTTTAAATATGTATATATATATGTATATATATATTATTTTTTGACACTATTATAATTACGCCACTTAATGACATTAATTATATAAGAATTATAAGATATACATATATATACATATGAAAGCTCGAATTGCTAATGTATGACTAAAGAATTATTTAATTTACGTCCTTGAAAATATGTATTCTGCCATATTCTGTCTCTTGATTTATGAAGATATTCTTTAATTATTGATAATATAATGATACACATTAAGCGTTCGATGAATATTAATAAAAAGCTCAAAATGACTTATCGTGATCCTCCATGCTCATGTAAATTACAAAAAGTAGAAGTTGGTCATTAGATAGCCAAGCAGATTTTATCGAAGAATTATTATTCTTTTTTTCTTTTTTTTTTTTTAATTCGTTACGATAAATTTTGTTTATTTAATCGAACGATCAAAATGAAAATAAACAGAGGACACAATAATTATCGACATTATATATATATATCGATATATATATATATATATATAACGACGATAATTGAAAATTGTATATTATGCGTAAACACTGTCAGAATTGAGCGACATACAATTTAATGATGTGGTATTTACGTTTCCATCCTGCTACATCCTCGTCTTCTATTTCTTCTTCTTCTTCTTCTTCATCATCTTCAACTTCTTCTTCCTCTTCTTCATACTCTAATTCATCCTCGATCTCGCTATCTTGCGGAGTTGCCAATTTACCATATCTTGCCTCTAATCTAGCAACTAATTCCGAATCATCAACGTCTTCTATTTCTTCTTCAATATCCTCTTCATCTTCCACCTCATCTTCTTCTCTTTCGTCTTCATCTTCTTCTGTACCGGAAATACGTTCTCCATCTGATGTCTCCAATTCATCTTCCACATCTTCCGTTTCTTCTTCGGATGATATCACTTTCGATGGCTTCTCATTAATTTTCTCAACTCCTAAACTCCGAAAATATTAAAAGTGAATAATTTAGAATATTTTTTTTATATTTGTTTATTATATCATAACCTAATTAATTTTATTATTATTATTATTATTATTATTATATATATATATATATATATATTACCTTGCGTCTTAAGCTTGGACCATGTTTCTTCTGACGGGCTCAAAGTTTTTTCTACAGTAACATTTTCGGGTTTATTATCTTCAGTTTCTAATTTTTCATATTTCGTTCGTAAAGTTTCATAAGCCTGTTTTTTCTTCGTGGTTAGCATTCGATTTTGTTCTTCAATTTGCAATGTTTCTGCTTCCTTCACAGATGCTGGAACTATTATTGTATTCCGCCTATTTAGATTAATCACTTCGTCGTTATGCGAAAGTTGATTTAACTCGGCGTCAGCTGAAAATATATTTAATTTTATATTAAATAATTTTTATTTAATTTTATACATGTGTGTATATATACATACTTTTCCTTTTTGTTTGTTTGTTTTTTTTTTCTTTTTTTTTTTTAGTTTTATAAATCTTTCTTATAAGGAAAATATTCTTTATCATAATATTTTTTTCAAATACATATAATTTTTAAAGCATATATAAAAATCTTAATATAACAAGACATTTACATTTACTTACCTATGTAGTATAATATTTTTCTAATCTGTAATTTATAAATGAAGTATTATCTTGTCCTACACATTATTAAAATCAAATAGTTAGTCTAATTACAATCATAGATATTACATGCTTAGAAATAAAGGTTTGAAATATTAATACTAATAATAATAATAATAAGAATAATGATAATAATAATAATAATAATAAAAAGAAAACAAACTAAAAATTAATACGCCTGCGATTATCGTACGACGAAAACGAGAAAATGTGAATTACTAGAATTTTACATGTAATATACGGATTAGTAAAAACATTCACATGTTAACATATTTCATAATAAATTATTGACACCTTCATACATACATACATACATACATATATATACATACATACATACATGACGATCAAAACGATGATCTTGTATGATATAATAGAATGTTAGGCATAACATTAGACATAGATTTTTCATTCGTATTTCATTTCGTATTAAAAGATCAATACTACGAAGTAAAAATATTAATCATTTATATTTTTTATACTATGGTTAACATTCTATTATTATATTTATAACGATAACAAGATGACGGAAAATATAACTAAATTTACCGTTGTTCCATCGCCTAATGAGAACAAAATGTGCAGCAATGATAAGTGCAACACCAACTCCAAACTTCACTGCCACTGTAACCATTACATTGTATTTCTGACTTTTTCGTTTTTCGTCAAGCACATGCTTTGATGGACGTAAACGAAGACGACATTTTAGATCTTCTGTTTTTTTCTTTCTTTCTTTTTTATAAATTGAATTTTATACCATTGAATACTTTTTTTACAATTTTAAAATAAGAGCATGGAGGATTCCTGATATTATGGCCTTTACTATTTAAATAATATATTCTTCAAACAATTTGATAGCCAAACTGGAAGAAACTTACCACTCGTTGATTCTTCTTCTATTTCTTCCACTTCTGGCTCAATGTCTATATCATTCACATCTTCTTCAGGTTCTCCATCCTCTACCTAGTAGCGTTAAGATATTCGATACTGAGGATTTGAATTTTTCTAATAATGTGAAATATAACAACGAGAACATTTTAAATATTTCGTTAGAATCGCGCGTCCAAATGTCCCTCATCTTTTCATATTTCAAATTTTTTCTTTATATTGTTATACGTATGTGCGTCAGTATTTGTATTTTTGTGTGTCCGTGTATAAGATGAGAAAAGGAAAAAAAAATATATATATATATACCAACATATCTTTTTCATAACGACAGACAAGACATATAGATGCATGCAAAGTAAACTACAACAATCAAAAGAAGAAGAAAAAAAAAGGAATGCATTGCATGTATATATATATATATATATATATATATATATATATATATATATATAAATACATATATATATCTATATATAAATATATATGTATGTATATACCTCTTCCAAAGGCTCAGCACTGTAATCATCCACCATTTCTAGGACACCTGGTATCGTAACAAATTCTTCGGATGCCTGATCCTCTTGTTCCTCGGAAGCTTCTTCAGGAGCTTCTTTGGTAACGTAATAATCATTCTTTTTCAAAATATTTCTCTCAACCTCATCATCATCGTCTTCACCACTTTTATTGTCCATTTCTTCTAACACATCGGTGTCGTCTAAGCTCTGCCGATTTAAATCGTCGTCATCTTCCATATTAGATTCTCCAGGATCGATACCCTCATCTTCAATATATTTACACGACTTATTATCTTCTTTTAATTAAATTTCAATATAATGAATTTTATATGAGAATATTACCTTCTTCGTCTGAAATTGTAATTCCTTTAACACCACTATCATCATCATCATCATCATCATCATTATCATCATCTTCTTTTTCTCCTCCTTCTTCTTTTTCCTCTTCATCTTCTTTACGGTCATGTTCATCTACTTCTTCATATTCTTCTTCACTACCTAGACCTTCATCTTTATCTTCGTTCTCATCTTCCTTAACATTCTCTTCTTCATCATCATCTTCTTCTTCTTCTTCCGTTTTATCTTTAGCTGATTTTATCGTTACATCAGCCGTTTCTTCTTCCTCTGTTTCTTCTTCTCCTTCTTCTGTTTCTTCTTCTTCTTCTTCCTCCGTTTCTTCTCCTTCCTCTTCTCCTTCCTCTTCCTCTTCCTCTTCTTCGCCTTCCTTCTCTTCTTCTTCTTCTTCTTCTTCTTCCTCACTAGCTTTTACATCTTTTTCATCATAAGATTCATCTCCATGACTTGGAAGAGTATCATCTACCCATCCATCAAATATATTAGCCCATCGTGATTCTCCTATTGGTGTATCCACTAAAATGTAATTAAATTTTATTAGACATATCAATCAATCATGGTTGTTCTGTTTTTTTTTTATGATTAACATAAAAATTATTTAAGTACGTAATATTTTATCATTTCTTTGAATAATTACTTACCATCTGTAGTTCCTCTATGCTCGAAAATAATTATCCCAGTTAAAGCGACGAGTACGGCCAGTAATATGAAAAATATAATACGTGCGCACCAATGGCCACCCGTACTAGTTTCCTTGTAAATATGTAAAGTAACGTTGTCTGTCACACTCTCCGATGGACTTATCAACGTTGGTGGAGGTGTACCAGACTCTTCCTCTTCTATACAAATAAATAATAAAATAATTAATAACATTAATCTATATTATATATTTCATAGTATATATATATAGATATATATATATTTTTTTATTAATATATTTAATATATAATTTATACAAACATATATAATTTTTCTTTTTCTTCTTTTTAAATATGATTTACTGTTATATTTGTATCGAGTTGACCGAATATCAACAGCGTAAAATATATTTTTTTATATAAATTTTTATATAAAAAAAAACAAAAAAAAAAAAGAAAAAATTAAAAGGGACAGAAAAAAAAACCTAAAAATGATAAATAATTTGACGAGAAATGCTTTTGGATTGGATAATACAGGTTAATCTATTTTTGAAAGCCAAAAGCCAGGCTGGCAGGGTATCTAAAACCAACATTTTCTAACTTAGGTGACATTGCCAAACCTGCCTGGATTTATGTAAATTTCATATAAATACAGAGTTCGCATTAAACTTCACAATATTACAGCAGAAATAAAAGATATGAAATTCGTACCTAATACGAAGAAGTAATATACCGTAAAAAGATAAATTCGTTCATTCGTTTCCCATGAATATGAACAATATTAAAAATAATTCAATTTATTAAATTTATAATACAATATAATCACGTAATTTTATTAATTTAGTCCTGCAAATATATTTATATATATATATATATATATATATATATATATATATATTTATGTTATATAACTTTTATGCGCTCATCTAAAAATATGTATGTATGTATGTATGTATATATATATATATACATGAATACAATAGATACATTTTTTTAATTGTCTAATCTGTAAATGTGATGAAATAATCAAGAAATGAAATACACTTTTCTTTGAACGCCATTTAACCATAAAAAACAAAAAAAAAAAATAAATAAATTATTTCGTTACATACACAAACGCACAAATATATTCAAATCATATAGATATTATAATAATCAATATGTATTGTATAATTATTCATATTTTGATAATAAATTCGTAAGGATCACGAACGATGTAATATTTCGTCAAATTTGATCTGTTGATAATATAAAATTGAACGTCGGGATATATTAGAAATTTAGATTAAAAAATTTCTTTGAAAGTTAAAAGGAAGCATTTAGAAAGAAAGAAAGAAAAAAAAGAAAGGAATAAAAGAAAAATATATTTTTCAAAAAAAGAAAAAAAAAACAAAGATATTTACACACACGATTATAATCCTTCTTTTAAACGTTTATAAATCATGTGCAAATGTTAAACAGAAAATTTGGATGCGGTATTATCGGCCATATTATTTTATCGATCATGATCGAATGCGTAAAAGAAAAAAATATGAAAAGAAAAAAAAAAAAGAAGGAATTTTTTCGATAAAACAAAAAATAAAAAAAAGAATCTTTCCGATCGATTGTACTCTTTGGGGGAGGAAAAATGAAAAAAGAAAACAAAGGCGCGCGTTAAACAGCAAACGCGCATTTTCCAAGACAAAAATAAAAAAAGCTAAGCGCGTTGTGCTAAAAATAATCTATCATCATAAGTACCCAAAGTTACGAAAGTCTAACAAAATCTAATTCGAATATAATATTTTACCTTTTTTGCGTCTCCTATCCTTTCGTTTTCTTGGTTGTACATCACCCGACATTCTTCTATTCGAAGCTCTTTCACGTTCCGTTATAATAAATGTACGAAATTTAAAATTTTTTGAATGTCGAACACTCGCGGCACCACTTCACTTATATTCGATTAAGGAGAACATATTCACCAGTAGTACCAGTTCTGCCAAAATAAGAAATCCACTAACGAATTGAATTGAAATCACTATTACGAACATCACGTCAATATAGATTTTGGAGCGAATTTTTGAACAATTGAATTTTCGCGCGGTTTTCTTTTTTCGATATATATATATATATATATACATATCGGTATCAATATGCATTAGTAATTAATTATAATTTATTTTTATTATCAATATATAATTGTTATAATTTATTTATATCAATCGAAAGAATTATTTCGTTTGTTACATTACAGCTCTGATAATTACTCGTTATTAATTTTATTTTTACTATATAACGTGTCATGATTTATTTGAATTAATCAATAATAAAAGAAAATTATTTTCTACGTAAAGGAAATATGTATGAGGTAAAAAAGAAAGAAAAAGAAAAAAAGTAATGAAAATAATAATTTCACAGAGGACATATTTTTTATTGCAGTAAACATCATATGTACAATATTAAAATACACAGAAGGTGTATATTACATAGCACACCCCACAATCCTCGATTTAAATAAATAATTTGTGAAATATAATCCTCTGTAGATTTAAGAAATGTATTTTTTCGGTCCTCGAGAAATGTAAGGCACAGTCTATGCTAAGAACTTCTGCAAGATAACAATAGTTACTTGGTGAACACAACGAAAGAGTATACAAAAGTGTTATTAAATTACTAATACAATAAAATTAATATAAATAATACCGCTGATAAGTAGAATTACCATGTTTATCTGCATCGAAAACTCGAAAATATATAATATACAAATATATGTATGTAATGCATATACATATATATACATATATAGATATATCTACACGTCTATACATATATACGTATATACATAACATATATATTCAATGCAGTCACATAATATCCTCTTAATAAATCCCATTGTTTATCGTTTATCAATTGATCATTGTGCAACGTTACTATTTCATATGGCAAAGAAAATCTTTACGTAATTAAATGTATTTTCTTTGTCATTTACAAAAATTTAAAAAGAAGAAAAAAAAGAAAATAAACGAGAAAAAAAAGAAAAGAAAAGATATATTTATGTATTTAACAAATTTTCTCATAATTCATTAGTATGGATTAACAATAAATTTAACATTAATTTTGTTATTCAAAATGCAATACAAGATAATCGTTGTTGTAATATTGTTCCAAAATATATACATATATATAATAATATATATATATAAAATCAAATTATTAAAAAAATTTCTTACATATAACATACAAGAACTCGTAAAATTACGATCGACTATTATATAATGAAAACTTATGTTATTTCCAAAAAATACAAAGAGAGAGAAAGAGAGAAAGAGAGAGAGAAAGAGAGAGAGAGAGAGAGAGAGAGAGAGAGAGAGAGAGAGAGATTTTGAATTATTCATTTTAAAATAACTATTAATTTGATCACTTTTTATTCAGAGGATTCTTGCAGTTCACAGGTCATGAAAGTATAAAGAGAGGAAGATTTAATCCTCTGTATATTAACTTAATATTTTGCAGCAAACTTTACGTTATACTTATCTAATTCCTCTATTATAATTTACTTATTTATTTATACACTGTTAATGTCGATTATCTTTATCGGACAATAAGCCAAATTCTATTTATAAACCTATGCACTTGAAGGCCTTTTATGGATATGTCAAGTTTTCTCAAACTACATTGAATATAAATTGTAGTTGAAATAATTAAATAACATTTTTGTCCAATATATATATATATATATGTATACATATATTATATGTACATATATATATATATACATATACATATATATATACACTTTGATTAATCTATAAATACTCACTAACATTATCTTAGATCGTAAATCTAGACGATAAACGAATTTTAATAAAGTCACATTCTCTAAAACATGGAAATAAAGAATTCTGTACACTGTACATTATAAGGATAAGCTAGAATTTTTAAACTACATAATATCTGCAATAATTAATAATAGGCCATAACAATTACTATACATTCTTTTAACAACTGCCCTTTTTTATTTATGACTTTATTTTTAATTCCTTCTATATTCTTGTCTATCAGATTTTGGAGGGATTTTTTTTTTCTTTTATATATATATATATATATATATATATATATATTCATAATAATATAGCTTATGATTGCAAAAGAAAAATATAAAAAATTTTGCTTTAATGCAGATGAGATTTTCAAAGCATACAATAATTATTATTCAAAATAAATTTGGACGCGATAGAATATCGATCAAAGAAAAGTGTTTTTATGCGAATACCAATGAAATGACCAGCAAAAGCATTGAAATCACATACTAATATATTTATTTGCAAGTTTTCTATGCATTCTTTTTTTTTTTTAGATTCAAAATGCATATGATTTTTCCAAATCAATGTAATATTAGATTCAATAATTTAAATAGATAAATACATACGTCGCCGATTGAAAGAGAGAAAAAAAAAACTTCTCCATTATTTTAGTTTTACTAGTTATACATATCTTGAAAAATCTATATCTGTTAAGTGACAAATTTTATAGATTTATATTTCATAATTTTTTAATTGCATGTATACCATATGTATGGCAATCTTCTTAATAGTAATAATATTATTCTATATATATTCAAAAACGTGTCCTAAATTTATCGAAGAATATATTTTCCATATAAATTGCAAACATAAAATAAATTGAATTAAGAATGGCATAGATTAGTTTCTACTCTGTTTGTGCACACACAACATGCACACACAAGATTAGTTTTACAAAATAAAATTGATTCTTAGTAAATGCCAATTGTCTTAACAGTTATTTAGTTAATAATATGAATAATACATTTGATTAGAATATCTATATATCATAATGAATGCTGGTTATATAAACTATCACAGGATATATATATATACATATACATATATATATATATATATATATATATATACATATATATATTTTATAATAATTTCTATTATGACATATATATAATCAAATATTAAAACATATTTTATATATATATATAAAGCCAGAATATTATTGTGATGAAAAAAGATAGCAGTCTCATTTGTAAAATTGTAAGATCTTTTTTCTATACAGTATAGATACATTTTTTCTCGTAAATTGCAGATCAGACGTGCTCTTAAATATTTGTTTTTCTTGATCTCTTCCAAGTTTTAAACCTAATGAGAAAATTTGAATTTGTTATTAAAAAATATACAGAAAACTTCTAAGTGTCTTATCTTTATATATCCATTTTCCTGAATTATATGGAATTGTTAGATTATTAGAATGATTTATTCACAAATTACAATTCATTTAATTTAAAAAAAATTTTTTTAAATTAAAAAAAAAAAAAAAACAGGATTGTTTGTATTTAATTGACAAGCATCAGCTTATAAGATCAACGTGATTATCATTAATATCTTTTAAATAAATGCAATAGAAAATTATTTTAGATCTGAAAATAACAGGAAATATGAGCGTTTTAATTTTCAAAATGATGTATAAAGAAAAACAACAAAAAAAGAAAACAAAGGCATCGATTTGTCATTCGTTTTCAATGCTTGTGTGTGATCATAGTTTTTGAACTTTACTATCAATTATGTTTCGATAGTTATAATAATGATAACGATAATAATAATAATAATAATAATAATAATAATAATTATTATAATAATAATAATAATAATAGTAGTAATAGTAATAGTAATAATAATTAATAATAATAAGATAATAATAATAATAATAATAATAATAATAATAATAATAATAATAATAATAATAATTAATCATCATCATCATTATAATAATAATAGTAATAACATTAATAATAATAAAAATAATGATATGATATGGTAGAAATAATTTTACATATCAAGCACTTAACAACATTTCATAATGCTGTTAATAGTGATTGCAAACATTTAATTTAGAACTGTTTAGCACTCAGGCCTCTTTGGATTCACAAGCTTTAATTTTGTTCAATTTTTCGTATATAGTTCAAGTTTATTTAATTTAATTACTTTATGAAATTTAAGTGACATCTATTATAATACAGACATACCATAATTTTGGCATGTCTCATATATATTTTTTGTTATATTTATTTATTAAACTGTATGACAAATATTTAATATTTCAATTATTCTTTTTAGAGATATATACATATCTCAGTTATAAATTGATGGAATTATGAATGAAAAACAATGATAATTAAATAATATATTCACCTAAAATAATATTTTCATAATTAAAAATAGCTATTATGTTCCCTAAATATTTATCAGTTAAAACTGGCGATTATTAAATTATCCCCAGTCTATGAGATTATAGCTTATGCAATCGATAACACATTGTGTGTTATTGCATCATATTTAATGCACATACATTATTACCAGCTTTTTAAAATGACGTGAAAATAAATAAATAAATAATAGAAATTTTTGTCGTTTGACGAGATGTTCAGTTTTCCACAGCGTTATAAGAAACCAAATACATAAAAATGGCTTCTCGAAGTCTTTTGATCTTATAGCTTCAAAAGTTTTGTGCGCGTAAGACAACCAGAACTTACATAATTCAAAAAAATATTAAAATCGCGTGTACAAAAAAGAAAAAAAAAAAGAAAAAAAAAAAAGAAAAAAAAAAAGAAAAGAGATGACCCTATTGCACAAGAGTCAACAATATGTAAGCAAAAGCAGTATTACATATTAATATATATATATATATATATATATATATATATATATATATATATCTGTATGAGTAGTAAAAAAATATATATAGCCTTGTATAATCAGAATTGAATTTGAGTGCCATCTCTTCTTGAAATATAACTAATGCGAATGCACGGACAAAGTTTCCTCTAAAAATGTGTCCTAGGAACGTAGAGCGTGTATTTTTTATATTACAGTTAAATTAATGATTGCCACGTTCACTCATAGCAGTACAGGATATGTCATTTATGTCATCCCTTATTCTTCTTGTCAATGTACATTCATCCAGTTTTCTAGTATTATCATAATTATTTAACTTTCTTGACAGTGTACCAGATAGATTAATTCCATCTGTTGCCAACAAAGCAGAGCTATCAAGTCTTTTACGATTTTCCATATTTTCATTTCCATTTCTTTCAGATTTTTCAGATCTTAATGTATTGTTTAAACTATGATCAAATTTTTTGAGATCATTTTGTATACTTTTAATAGTATCAGTACTACTGTCATAGCGTCTTAACAAATTACTTTCATTCTCATACCTACGATTGATGGAGTCAGAGTCTAGACATTTCCTGAGTGTATCGTCGTATCTTCGATCTTCTATTCGTCTAGAAAATCCAATATCATAACAATGGTCTGCATCTGTACAACGCTGATTTAAGCTATCTGTTTCATAAGCACGTTTCGTTATCTGACTATCAAAACCAGCTCTGGCAGCTAAATGGAGGTAATTATCGTCACCAATAGGTGCTTGTCTAAAATAATTTCAATAATAAAAGATTTATAAAAGAAAATATTAAGATAATAATATTTATAATTTTCTCTATGCGATGGATTTAATAATATAGAAACAATGATAAATATAAAACTTACTTGCTCCCATACTTGGTATCACGTGCTAGTCTTCTAAAGTAAGCTCTATGTTCGTGCTGCAAAGCATATGCAGCTTCTCTCAACGAAGTTAAAGTTTTAAAACAAGATGGAACGTCTTCAATAAGAGACCCACCACCTGGTATCACACACATATCACTCGCCCCATACACTGCCTGACACTCACATGCACTCATTAATGTTTCAAGCCGAGGCATATTGGTGAAAATCAAAGAATGTATCCTTTGTAAATCCCGATCAGGATCTAGAACCATGCGTAAACCAGCCTCTATACCTGGAGACACCTCACTGCATCCTGGAGCTACTTCAGATGCTGCACGGCAACTATGAAATATCATGTATACAAAAATAAGAAGATATATCATATGATACTTATATTAAAAAAATATACTTTTCACATTACTTTTTACTTACCAAAGCCAATGGCCATTAATATATGCACTAGGATGATATTTTTCTAATCTATTACTATTTGTATGACATATCTTCGTAAGTATGTCGATCCATTCTTTTTCTTCCACACAATTACCAGCTTGAACATACAATGCTCTTTGTGGTTGTACTATTTGAAACATATTTTTCATCTTGAAAGAATCTTCGTGTAACCTTTCAACCGCGAGTATTTCCTCCAAAGGAATTTTACATAAAGGTTCTTTACCTGTAAAATAAATATAAACTGATTTTAAGTATTTAATAACTTTTTAATGTTACCCAACAATACAACATAATATCATTTTCTCTTACCTTTTGTTTTGGAGTAAGTTAAATCTTGTGTAGTTAATCTAAAGTATCTCTGTTTAAAATTTTTTCTTCCAAACCTTTTTCTCCCTTGAGCCCTCTTGATCATTATTCTGTAAGAAGAAAAAACATAGTAACTATATAACTCGGTATGGACAATATTTTTCTTTCTTTTTCTTTTTTTTTCTTTTTTGTTTTTTTACAATACAAACCTCTTAGTACAATCGATAGTATGCACAAAAAGGAAATATATTCTATTAGAAACATAAAGTTAACAACTTCAATTATATAAAATATAATCTTGTAAAACTTTTACAATTGCTATGGAAAATCAATTTGAATAAGTAAAGATTTAACTTACCCTTCTTTCAACACAACTGGTTGTTCTTGCAACATCGTAGGTCGTTGTTTCGTTGCACCGCTACTGCTACTAGTCGATATAAGTTCCAAAAATTGTTTAACAGCTTGTATATGTCTTTCTGTATAAAATTCTCTGGAAAAATAAACTAAGAATTATACAAGAAAATATGATTCATTCTCTAAAGATTATTATGGATTTATTTAACGTACATGTATCCCTAATTACATACCTATATACACATTCCATATATTCCTCTTTACAAACGCTACCAGCTCCTCCTCTACAACTCACTAAATTACCCAGACTTTGAATTGTTTTAGATATTAATGTTAACGTTCTATTTGTTTGAGAATCCTATAATACAAATTAATATAAGTTTAAAGATAAAAATTCATATATAGACTGGAATCTTTTTTATTCTATATTTGAAACATACGATTAATTAATGCATTTAATTAATTACTTACAATTTGTTCAGTAGTGATGTCAAATAATCTTGGTCCCAATATTGCAGGTGCGAAAAATCTTAGGAAAATAAAACCACTTATCACGGAGTAACGTACTTCTTTATTCTTTGGAAAGTGAGTTGCAGCAAGTTCTCGTAAACACCAAAACATTTCACACATTAATGGCGGACATCTTACACCAGACGTTGTTATAGCTGTAAATACTCTTTCTACATATTCCTGTAATAAAAAAAAAAAAAAAAAAACCGCGCACAAAAAGATATTAAAATTCATTACTCAAAAGTACAAAATATCAGATATTATTTCAATCAAATAATTTATATATTAAACTCATCTTACCTTTAGATTTGCTAAATTCGTTTGTATCGTATTTGCATCCTTTACCCTTGTAGGATCTATTTCGCAAGGTTTCCTTTCTAAAAAGACCTGCTCCATTGCTGGTCTTAATGTACTATGTAAATAATGAAGACCTGCTAATCTCATGCCTTCATCCATCATTTTACTGACTAATGTATTACCGCGGAAAATAGTTGTTGGATCACTGTAAAATGAAATGATAAATTCTTCTGCATCGTATATAACTCAATACTACATATTCATATTTGAAAGGGAAACTTACGTTAGTTTAGAAATTTCATGACTTGCAAGTGCTCGCATCACAGACACTAATTGTCCATGATGAACTAACACTCTAACCAGTGGTTGTGCAGCTTCCATTTTGGAAGCCACAATTTCACCCAAAATATAAACAGCAGATGATGTTATTGGTTGAACATTAACACTTTGTAATAATAAAGTTCTCAATCTCTCATACATTCCAGACGGGAAAACATGATCAGCTGTATAATGAATTTTTAAACGTAATGACCCTAACCCTGGAAGGGTACCCGGTGGTGTTGAATTACTTGAAATTTTATTTGGTCTATGTTTTGCTGCTCTTGGTTGAAGAAAATACCTAATAAAGAAAAATTAAATTTAGAAAGAACATAACATAATATACATAAAGATCAAAAGCAGAAGAAAAAAAGACTACTCCTTACACCATTTTATTTTAAATATTTAATGTGATGTCACAAATTAAATAGAAGAGTATAGATATAACAAAATGTACCACGCAGTTGTTGTACTAGTTGGTTGCTTCTGAAGTCCTCTTAATGTAACACG